AGTTTACTTAGGATCTATGAGAGGAGGCAACTCATAGCTGCTAATCAGATTCCCTGAACACTACAATCAATAGTTGTTACTATTAGTAGACTAAAACCTATGGTATACCCGGTGCAACGGAACGATGAGATATTAATCGGGTTTACCTGCATCCCCCACAACCAAAATTTAAAATGATTGCACATCAAATAATCAATTCATCCTTAATCGAGAGTTCCCTTCTACGCGTTAGGAGGGGTAACTATAAGGGCTTGCACTCATTGGAAGTGGAGCCTCATAATTAAATAAACCCTGATGCCGTTCATCGAGGGAATTTGGTTAATTTAAATTCCAATTTACATGGGGAAAAATGGGACCTAAAGCTTGCAAAACCCTGATGTCGTAGCGCCGTCTTTTCCTGAGTGAACACTCTCTGTGGTTGAGAGCTAGTAATGATGCGTCCTCTCTTACAACCTTAATCAATGTCATATTTGTTCTTTCTGATATGCCATTTTGTTGGGGTGTTGTAGGAGTTGTGAGTTATGGTGGATCCTATATGAGAATATTCATGTTGTGTCCTACCATGCCACAAGAGTAACACTTAATTCCTTGAAATGAATGAGCTAGTCTATATAATGAATGAATCTTCCTCTTATGAGAGGATGATGTATGTGATGCCCTAATGCATTTTTTTTGTGAAAGTGCAGACCTGAATGCAATGACTCTAGGTTTTATGATATCTTTTCTTAGATATTCGTTAGCACTTTTAAATATTTCAAGTTTCATATGTGCTTGATGCTCACTATCTTGCAAATGCAATGCTTTTACTTTTAATGTCTTACATGCAGCATCTAATTCAATATTCATGCTAGTTTTTCCCTTCAAATCATTTTGTTTTCAAAATTTTAGATTCTTTAACTAAACTTGAATGCTCATCTATTAATGCAACATGTTCATTTTATAAATATATAAACTTATTAACTAAATATGAGTGCTCATTTATCAATAAAATATGTTTATTTTTCAAAAAAAAAAAATCTTTTAAGCTTTTTATCTCTAATATGCAACTGTTCAAAAACTTAAAGTAATTCATCTTAAGAAAATTCGCATACATGATCATCTTCAATAGCATTTGTGCTGTCTTTCGCCATTAAGCATATGTTGGTAATTTCTTCTTTAGCTTCTGCCTCTGATGAATCAGAGTCTGAGTTCGCCTTGAAAGATTTTTTAGATTTTCTTATGTTCCTCTTATTTTTAACTTTTTTTTTTCAGCTTTCTCCTTTGATGATTGACTCTTCAAATTAGGACACTCCGATTTTAAGTGACCTGGCTTTTTATATTCAAAACAAAATAAGATCAGTGATAACTTTATTAAACTTTTTACCTTTATTCCTCAGCTTATCATTGTGCCCCCTCTGCTTGTTTTTTTTTTAAGAAAACTTTTGAACATCCTAGTTATTAAAGTTATATCGTCGTCTCCACTTCCTTCAGAACTATTATTATAAGAATTATTGGCTTTCAATGCTATAGTTTTTTCCTTTCTTTTTTCACCTAGAATCTCTACTAACCTTCTGTCCATATGCTATCAAAAAGCCAAGTAGGTTATCAACAAAATAAGCAGTTAAATCTTCAGATTCAGAAATCGTTGTCACCTTGGCGTCCCAAGATTCAGGCAAACATCTCAGAATTTGTTTATCTTGTATGCATTACTAATTTCCTTTCCTAAAGCATGCAAAGAAGTAATAATTTTTGTGAAACGAGTATACATTGTAAGACATTGATTCATTAGGTTGCATGCAAAAGAATCCATAATCATGAAGTAAAATATTTAAATGTGATTGCTTAACTTCATTAATATCTTCCTAAGTAATGCATAATCTATTCCAAATTTCTTTGTACATGTAGAGACACACATGTTATCTTCATACTTTGATGCACATAAAAAGTAGTTTAGACATTTAGCATTCAATTGTGTCAACTTTTGGCTACTAAAACTCTATTCATTAAAGGGAAGTTCAACTTTTATGTTGGTTTCTATTCTAGGTGGGGTTGATACCCTACTTACACTAGATTCCACATTCGATAATCAATAAATTGAATAAATGTTGACATACATTTTTTAAATGTCAAATGAAATATTGTTGAATAACAGCGGTCGAGTAATCGAGTACCCTTCTAATGTGTTCCTATTTCTAATTAAATTGTCATGTTTAAACCAATCTTGAAAACACTCGCTTTGATACCAATTGAGGTTTGATGTGAATCTAAACCGAATGACACAACTAAGTAAGAGGTTAATTGGTGCATATTAAAAGTTTAAAAATTGTACATAAGCGTTCAAAACAACACCAATATAAAATTTTCTTTTATATATTTTTCAGGCCAACTAAAGTAAGAACAATAACAAAAAATATTTTTAATATCAACCTAATGAAGCAAGAAAAATATATTTTCTTATTTTGTTTTTGAAAACAATCAAAAGCAAAATGTGATTATTGCATAATTTTTTTTCAAATTTCAGAATAAATTTTCAGCAATTTTTTACATCAGTGCACATGCCCAAAAGATTGCAAAAAAATTAAAACTATAATAAGAAAAATCCAAATCAGACTTATAGTGGTTCTGTCACTTAACCTACATTCATTTCTTGAGTCTCTACTTGAGAATTCCACTACTACACTTCTCCCAACAAAGCAAAGAAGCCACTCTCCTTCATGGGTAATGGAGACACTCAACCTCTTCTCTCCTCGAAAAGCCGCTTCTCCCTAGCCTCATGTTAGATCCATGAAGTCCGGTCCCAGTCGCAACACTGAGACTTTGTTGAGCTCATGCCCAAGTGCTTTCACAATCAAAACCTAGAGGATTTAAGGATTAGATTTGGATTACATAGTCTCAGTGAATCTATCACCTCACACTTTTGTTCTCTCCCAAAAGCTCTCATAAGTCTCTCCAATCTCTCTCCCAAAATCAAGTCTCTCAAAATCTCTCTAAGAAACTCAAAAGGACCAGCCAAAAAACTCTAAGAATTTCTGAATATATCCTATTTATAAGAATGCTCCTAAAGGAACCCTAAATAGTGCGTTTATTTTTTTTATGGGTTAATCATACAGTACGGTCTATGAATTGTATAGTACCATTAGTACAATATTGGCTAAAACCCTAATTTGCTATGTTTGTTCGGACTATATGATTTGAATTGTATAGTACGATTAGATCAAGTTTGTTCAATCTGAACAAAATTTGGCCAAACATGCTCACTGTATGAATTGTATCTTACAATGCGATATCAACTCTGATTTCACTCATTGATCTCAGAACTAAAATATGTAAATATTTAAAACAATATTTAAAAGTCGTGCAATACGAACTTGTTCGTATAGTACGAGTAGTGTAATTTTAAATTTGCTTGTTTTTTAAAAGAACAAATAATGTCTGCTTAATTTGAAACACAAGATCGTACAGGACGATATAAATTATATTGTACGATCAGTTATTTCAAATTTTCTTTTTCATTTTTTTGTTAATTAATATAACTTGATTTTCTAAATTTTTAAAATACTCATAACATTTTGTATAGTATAATATATATCATATAGTATGATTTAACTGTAAACAAGTACTTTAATTAATATTAATTTTTTTAATTTTTAATGCATTCTCTACTCCAGCATGTATGTGCACGGTTGCTTAGTCAATGTAATCCTACACACAAAAGAAGACTAAAAAAATATTATATTTTTTACATACATTTTACATTATGAATTTTTGACGATCCTCACATTCACAATTCTGGGCTCAATCAGTTTCTCTTTTTTATTCCATCTTTTGTGCAGCAGTTGTGTCTTTTGACCTGAAATATTGGTCCAAAAATCTGCTCACTTAAGTAAAGTTTATATTAGTATAACAAATAATATTTTTAATATTCAAAATCTAGTGTACACATCAAACTCATGGTGTCCAACAAACTTATCCTTGTTAGTGTTGCATCATGTTCCTACTATTTTATTTATGTTGATGTAACGCCTCATTTATTCTTATACATAGATCTTAGTGTCCTTCTCATAGATACTCTCCTTGAAATTGGTTCTTCATAGACTCAAATTGCTGTTTATGATTTGTCAGGTGAGAAATTCTCAGAAATTGTGGGAAGTCCATATTACATGGCTCCAGAAGTACTAAAGCGGAATTATGGACCTGAAATAGATATATGGAGTGCTGGTGTCATTCTCTATATTCTTTTATGTGGAGTACCCCCGTTTTGGGCTGGTAACATCTGCTTTTTTAGCCCATCTCTTACGACATGTTTGATTACTGGTTATTGATCAATTCTTTGGAAATTAATCTGCATTTCCCTGACAAACCTGCTTTTGTATTCTGAATTTCAGAAACTGAACAAGGAGTTGCACAAGCAATTCTCTGTGGAACTATAGATTTTAAGCGTGAACCATGGCCAAATGTTTCAGAAAATGCAAAGGATCTTGTTCGCTGTATGCTGGAACCTGACCCGAAAAGCAGACTGACAGCAAAGCAAGTGCTAGGTACTTCTACATTTTGTATTAGTGGCTCTGTTCAAATAATGAGGTTCTTTTGTTAATTTTCCTAAGCTTATTTTTTTACTTTTAAAACCATGATTTGTTGTTTCTTAGTAAATTAAGCTTATCAAAAGTGAGGTTTATCTTACCCTAAACTTTGCGACTTCTAATTATCACACTAGTCCTGTACTGGACTTATTTTAGATTCTTAGGAGATCTTTTTACATGGCTTTTTAGTTTAGAAATGTCCTCAACGTTTCTTGAAGGAACACTTAGGACAAAATAACACAGGATTTAACATAAAACTACAAAATATGCCCTAATTCATGTGGGCATTTAAAAAATCATGTATTTCATTTTTTACTCTTACATGATATAAAATTGCTATTTTATCATCTTTTAGTATGTGATGGGCACACTTGGGTATCAAGTCAACTGTCTTATCTTAATACTAAGTTGATTTGGCTTTGTTATTAAAAGCGATAGGCACCTTCTTGGCAATATGACTTTCTAATGCCTAAGGCACTAGGCATTTGGCTGAGCCAAGTGAGGCGCTAATAAATTATTATTTCAAATATTTTAATTATGAGGAATATTTTTGGAGATATAATATAATAACCATCATAGTAAAATTGTAAGAAATATATATTTTAAAGTTTGGTTTCATTTCAAATATCAAAACCTCGCAAAATAGATGATCTAAAATAAAGTGCGTAAGGCCCAAAAGCATAGTTTTATTAAGCAAAAAATATCTTAAGTTTGTAGGTTTAACAATCTAAGTTTAATCAAATATTCATTATTAGCTTTTTTATCTTCTTCATCACCCATTCCCTTTTTCCCATCATTAGATTTGTAAGCCATCTATCTCGCTCCTCAGATCCATCTTCTCCATCATTAATATTTATTTTGTTTAACTAGAAGTTCTTGCTCTCACATTTGGTGGGGATCTATACAACAAATGGTAGAAAATGTGCTCATTAGATAAGTTGATAAAATCAGTGTGAAAGGATTAATAAGTAAAATGATAGACCTAATGTTAGAATGATAAAAATTGTCCAATATTTGTAAACAATGGGTTTAATAGCTCCAACAAAACTCAACATGAGTGAATGAAAAATGAGCATTCCTAATGTTAACCCCAAATAGTTGGGATAAGGCTAATGATGATGTTGATCAATTTCATTGAGAGGGATTTGATCAATGATCTTTTACATCTCATGATGAGCCTTAAGAGCTTGATTATACTTCATATAAACTAGATCATGTAATATTTGATGAACCAATATGTTTCTCTTTTTAGAATGAAATACGTTGCATGAAAAGAAGAAAATTTATAATTCATAAATATTTCATGAAATTGTAGTTCATTAAGTAACTAAACATATGTTCAAACACACTCTAATTATGTTTACAACTAGTTTCCCTACAAGTATGGCTTAAATAATGGCCAATTGTTGCAAGTTTGGTGCAGATTTTCCAAATAAGTTCCACCATTCAGTTGCAATTTAAAAAAAAATCCAATTACTTCATAACTATGCAACAAATAAATTGTCCAAACCAAAATAAATGATACCCAGAAGGAGATTTTGTGCTCCTTGATTTAGTTTTCCATCAGGATACCTATGAGACCTTGGACTTTCTTGTATAGTGATAACTCAGATATAATTTGATCTTGAGTTCTACATTTAGTCTTGGTCTTTTGTATGCTTTCAAATAACCCATATGTGATTTCTTCAGCAAGTTCAACTGATGGATTATTTTGGAAAAACTCAGGGTTAAAGAAATGTTCTACTCATACAAAGGATGATGAAGCTGAGAATTCCACCTTTTATTCTTGATAGAAAATACTTGCCTATACTTATTTTCTTTCTTATTGAAGCTCTTTGGATAGTTTCTTTAGCTCTATCCATGGTTTCATATTTGTATCCCATAGCTAGTCTTATCTCATTTTCACCAAGTTAAAAAACTCACTAAATGACCTGTGAACTTGAGGATATAAAAAATATGATTCCAAAATGAAGGCATCAATACGATTTTAGTAGTACTTTTAGCCTATCTATCCTTACCCTATCTACTCTTCCATCCATTTCTCTGATGTGAACATTTTCTGATGGCATGATTTTAATTGTGGACTTGTTGTAAGTTGAGAAAAATAGTCACAAAATGAGCCACAATTTTTCAACCTTTTCTTTTTGGTAAGCTCTTTTATGATATGTATTCATTGCATTGGTATGGTTGTAGGGAAATCTCATGAGCGAAATTGCTCTATCTAATGTCATCTTGATTTTAAGAATATTCCAATGTTCTCCAACATTAGGCCCACACAGTGAGCTGCACATGGAGTCTAATACAAATAATTTTTTATTACTTCCTTTAATTTTCCTAACATCAGATATGAAATTGTAAAGTTTATTGTTCTCATAATAGAATAGCAATGTCATGTGACCTAAAAATAGTAACTAACTTGGCATGTTTGCAGAACAAAGTCTATCAGCTAATACAATTTCATTATCTATTGTCTAAGTTTGCATGTTGTAGAACAAAGCCTATCCTTCCTAGGGCTCTAATACCATGAAGAGAGAAGAGATGATTTGAATTTTACATTTATTAAATTGAAGACCTTTCCTTATTTACACAACAGGATCCTACGTTACAGTAGGTAATTTCTGCTTTTAGAAACCAGTAATTATAGTGATTACTTGAGAACATTCCTTGGACAGAATATACAAGTACTAACCAAATTCCTATATATGCATATATGATAACAAGGAATGATTTTCTATAGCTTGTATCCTTTACTCTATGTTATTCCCTGGAAGAGAATCCAGCTAGCTAGAATCCCACATTTTGCCAATCTGGACTATCAACGGTTATCATTGCATGTCTGTAGGTTTTCCCATGCTTATTTGCATCTCTCTCTTTAAGAAGGTGGCCTATCAGTGCATGAGCACTTAATATAAGAAAGTTTATGATAGGAAATACTTGGGTTCGCAAGTAATCCTATCGGAAATACTTGAGTTCGCAAACAACCCTAACAATGAATTGGTAAAACAACGAGAAAGAACACAAGCATACTAATGAAATCAACTCAAAACAATAGATTTGATTATATAAGATAAAGCAAAGCAAACATAGAACAAGATACAATTGATCCTCTTTTCGAGAGGAGGATCTTTCTCTCCCAATCTCTAGACACCAAGTCTAGAGCCCAAGACACCCAAGAGACTCCAAGAGAACAATAATCAAGCATACCTACCTTAGCCCCTTCATCCCCTTTAAATAGCCCTCTCCACCTCTTTAAAACTCCACCTCCTTAAAAACTTCCTAATATAAGATATTATTTAATTAATACAAAAGATATCAAATCTTTTAATTAATTAAATCCACCTCCTTAAAAACTAATATAAGATATTATTTAATTAATACAAAAGATATCAAATCTTATATCAAATCTTTTAATTAATTAAATCTACTTCCCTAATATAAACTAATTTCAAAATTCCTTCCCCTCTCTTCTATTGCCGCCTCAAGGGGGGCCCACAAGCTGGGTGGAAACACATCAAGGAGGCGGCTTAGCCCGCCTCTTGTAGAATTGGACCGGCCCCTCCTGAGCCGGTTTGGTTGGTTCCGTAACAGTTTACTTTCTGTATAGTTGGTAGAAGTTGAATTTGGTTGGCAATTTCCCCATTCAGTAGGCATATGCTGGAAATCAAATTTGCATTCATGATGTGATGTAATGGTTTCTCCATTCATTTTTTATCGTTCTGTCATTTTTTGTTACCATCACAAACACGCTTACTATTTTTGCTCATTTTTCTTTGTTTAGAGCATCCCTGGCTTCAAAATGCTAAGAAAGCCCCAAATGTTTCTCTTGGTGACGTTGTGAAATCAAGGCTAAAACAGTTCTCAAGGATGAATAGATTTAAAAGGAAAGCTTTACGGGTTGGTTTGACTCTTTCAATTTATTTTATGGTTCCTACTTACCTATATTAAGAAATCTTACTTGACCATACCAACACTCTAAATCTGCTTCTTGATTAAATCACTCTAGCTTGCATAAATTTCCTGATAGGTCATTGCTGACCACTTATCCACTGAAGAGGTTGAAGATATGAAAGAGAAGTTTAAGATGATGGACACTGATAATGATGGCATTGTCTCGTATGAGGAGCTAAAAAATGGGCTTTCAAAATTTGGCTCCCTGCTTGAGGAGTCTGAAGTGCAAATGCTTATTGAAGCAGTAAGTTAATTTCCTGTTTTACCTGATTTAAATTTGCTTACATCTACATTGTGATGTAGATATCAGCTTGCAAAAAGGTTAGTCTATGTTTCAAAACCAAAGAGTAACATGAGAAGGCACCAAGCCCTTAATTTTTTGAATAGAAGATTGGTAAACAATTTTCTTGCCAAAGACAAAAAGAAGTCACAACAACATCAAGCCTTTGTCCCACTACGTGGGGTCGGCTACATGAATCCTTTTTCGCCATTGTGTCCGGTTAAATGTCAAAGTCTCATTTAAATCTAATAAAGAAAGATCATTTCTAATATTTTCTAACCAAGTCTTTTTAGGTCTACCTCTACCTTTCTTAAACAAAAAGAAGTCACTGAGGAGTTAAAATTAAATTAAGAAATAATTATTGAAAAAGAGAAGGAAACCACCAAGCTATTCTCACCTCCAATAAGATGTAACTACTTAAGCTCTGATATCAAGTTGATAAGGGATGGAAGGTAGTGGTGAATGAAGTTATGCTAGGTGTGAAATTTGGGTATGGTGGAATAATCGATGGAAGCCAAGCCTACACGTGGCAACTAGGTTGGTGGAGAGTGAAGATACACCATCCTGAATTATTTAAAAGAAATGTATGTTATGAAAGAAAAAGAAATGCATTCTTCATTCATGATTAAAATAAAATACAAATATTATTTTATGGATAATACATCAAAGCTCCAATAGGAGAGAGCTATCAAGCCCTGCCTAAAAAATACCTAACTACAATGCTTCCACTTATTTATAACCATTACATGAAAATTACAAGAATAAAATAATTCAATAAATTTCTTTCATGGTTTTGGCCATTATCTTTAAATTTAAAATTTGATATTGCCTCCAATAATGTATAATTGATATAATATATTAATTTAACCCTTGCTTCAAGGGAGAGATTTTTTTTAATTTGAAATTTGAATTTGCCTCCAATAATTGATATAATTCCTTGATTTCTTGCTTCAAGGAAGTGAGTGGTGTTTAAAATTTGAAATTGCCTCGAATAACTGAGATAACTGTCATAATTAACCTTTGATTCAAGGAAGAGATTGTTCATTAATTTGAAATTTGAATTTGCATTATTTATAGACGTTCATCCTTGATTGAAGCCATAATTTATTTCATTTTTATTTTCAAATTATTTCTTGCTTCATGAGGTGCCACCAATTAAGGAGGAGAAAGAGGAATCCCCTTTAGCCGAAATTATCATGCTGGGGAATGTCATTTTAAAAGAGGAGAGTTGCCACCTCTTGTGGATGAGAGAAAATACTGAATTACTCATAATTTATTTTGTAATGCTGACCATGCTTTGATTGTTCATTTTTCTTTATTAATATAATGCCTCAAAACTTCCATCCTCGTTTGCAAGCCAAAGTTTTTTTATGTTAGTTCAAGAATTAGACTTGTGCTCACTCATGATCCTTCTGCAAGCCTTGAGTATGAAATGTTTTTGCAGACAATCAATTTTCTGTGACCGTGGATTCAATATCAGGGTCATTGTTCTTTTCTATGGCATGACTAAATCTTATAATAAATTTTATAATATAAAACGGTGGCCTTCTGATGACCCGGTTAGGAGAGTAGATGTATTAGAGTTAGCCTATGTTAAGAAAGGTAGAGGTATACCTAAAACGACTTGTTTGAAAATATTAGAAAGGACCTTTTTTTATTAGATCTAAATGAAAATTTGACTCTTAACCAGACACAATGGAGAAAAAAGATTCATGTAGCCGACCCCGCATAGTGGGAAAGGCTTGATGTTGTTATTGTTGTTGTATTGTCAGTGTAGTATGATGAATATGTGGAGGGTTCACCCAAAATAGCAGTTCTAACCAGTTCTTCTGAAAATATAAATACATTGAATCTGCTCCAACTGTTTTTAATTCATGTTTAAGTGAATGCTTTTATACCCAAAAAAATGTAAAATATTTCTATCACTTTCTTTTTTAGGTGCTAAGGTGAATCATTCCATTCAGGCTTTCATTTGTATACTATTTATGTTTAAGTATACTTTGCTCATTGAACTACCAATATATATATGTTGAGATTGTTGATCTTCATATATCTAATTTAAACTAATTATGGAAATTTTATAGAATTCTGCAAATTTGTTTTTGTATGACGCATGATGATTGTTTTATTAGATGAAATGATCTATATATGGCCTAAAATTTTTGGCTCGGTTCCATGTGTTATTCAAATTTTTTTCTTTGAAAACTCAAATATAAGTATGTTGTTCATCTTAAGATGAGATTTCCTGTGGAATAACAGTTTTTAAAACAAATGAATTATCTTGTTATTTAGTATGCACTATGGTTTTTTATTTATCATGTATGGGATTGAATTACGCAGATACCGCAAGTGTATGGTGTTTTCATTGTTTGTACCCTTTCAAAATTTGATCAAAAGCAAGTCCAGTCATCATTTTGTCTTAACATGGCATTCCTGTAAAATTTCTAGCAGATACTGTCTTTGCTTGAATCAATTAGCTAATAACTATCACAAAAATAACTTACACTAGCAATCACAAAATAGGCAAAATCAACACAAGAAAAAATATCACTGGGTTTACTCATCCTTCTTTCTTGCTTTTCTTTTTCTCTCCCTCTTCATTACACTATCCCTTCATATAGCAAGGATAACTCAACATAGAATAATCTCTTGTTTTTCAAGGAAAACTTCACTTCCCGATTTCTTATTTACTTGGTAAATGAATGGTACATTTCTTCTACCTTTTAAATACGTTATTTAATTTGGAATAAAATTCAAAACTGGCGAACAGGTGGATACCAATGGAAAAGGAAAGTTGGACTATGGTGAGTTTGTAGCTGTTTCCCTTCATTTACAGAAAATGGCGAATGATGAGCACCTACGAAGAGCCTTCTCGTTCTTCGACATGGATGGGAATGGTTTCATTGAGCCTGAGGAGCTTCGAGAGGCTTTGGCTGAAGATGGATCTAAAGAGAGCACTGATGTGGCTAATGACATCTTACAAGAAGTTGACACTGATAAGGTACCTATTCTCGCTTAGTTGAATTTTCAGATGAAATTTATCTTTTTCTTTCTTAAGAGCTATAACTATTGCAGTTGCGAATCAAAATTGCAAAAAATACAGTAAAACAGAGAAGTTAAAGAAAATATATAATAATTAAGCAACTTAAAGTTTGCCTAAAACTCCATAAACATATTGAGGGAGAGTAGATTAAGTGATTAGAATATGCCTACGACTCCGAATATCATTTTGGGGAGGGGGAAGTGAGTCATTACTCATTGTTTCTTTCATTTTTGCTTGCTTTGCCCTAATAATCTAAGGCTTCATTTGGTACAGCTTTTTTGCTGCTTCATAAAGCAGTTTTCTAATAAAAAAAAAAATTTTGTACTAAAAAATTGCTTTACAAATTGCTTTGAGAAGCAATAAGAAAGTCATCCCAAAGGAAACCTAAAGAGTATTTATGGACTACCAAGATTCCAATGACTTTAAAATATCTAATAAGCTTAACTACCTAAGATCCACAATGACCCACTGAACTAACCATTACATTCCCCAACACAGTCCTGATCTTTTTATACTTGCAGGATGGTAGGATCAGTTATGACGAGTTTGTAGCCATGATGAAAACTGGAACAGATTGGAGGAAAGCATCAAGACACTATTCGAGAGGAAGATTCAATAGTCTCAGCATCAGCTTGATGATGGATGGCTCGGTAAATATGTTTGGAGAGTTACAATGACATCCAGGATGACCATCTTATTACTTCTAATTGTTTTTGGTGGAAATACCAGCTCCATCTCTGGCTTGACATCTCTTCTTCAACACAATTGGGCTTCTCTATGTAATTAGTTCTCATTACTGAAATCACTTTGTGATAAAGCTGTTTTGGAAGCTGTAGAATGTGTAGCTTTCATGTAAATTGTCTGTCTTCTAATTGTGACATTGGACTTTTGATGTCCAGGTTTTGTAATGTCTTGGGTTGCTAACCTATATCTGGTTAGATTTAGGTTCATTCATAGATTGGATTGGGCACAAATTTATTTATTTATTTGTATATCAACTACTTATATTGTCTTTGAAGTGCAAACATTTGATAAGTTCTATTGATTGAAACAATGAAATTGGTATGTAAGTTTGTCACATAGTACATAAAATATATATGAAATTGGTCATCTATAATTATTATAATTTATAATAACTTGTAGAATAATATATGTTAATTGTTTGATGGAGTGTTAAATTTGAATTCATTTGGAGAAGCTGAAGAGGGAATATTTCAATACATTGATTGCTTGTTCACAAAATAAAGTTTGATTGAATATAACAAAGATTGAAATATTGTCATAGTTTCATTTAAGTTTGTATTTATGAGCATTTGTCCAAATGCATTGCATGATTTCAATAGTATTATTTTCTTACCTATAATATTTTGAAGGTTCTTGTAATATATATATATATATATATATTTTAATTCAAATGCACCATCACTTAAGGTTTTGGCATATCTTCAATATAAATTCCACATAGCCCTTGTAAACATTACTTGTATATTTATAATTATTAGAAGCAATAGCCAAATTTTGTGAATATTTTTTTAGGTTGAAACTCAATGGTTATTTAAATGGATTGCTACTTGTAGACATACTGATAGATAAATTATTTACAAATGTAGTAATATTAAGATTTTATTTTGGATGATTTTTTTATTGCACAGAGTAATTTTTTTAATAAAAAATTTTAAATCTTAACTATATTGAGTAGATAAATTTGTATAAAGATAAATCATTCTTTTTTCATCAACTCACATGTTTTGCATTATGAAATTATACTTCATACTTTTGTTTTCAAACTAGACCAATAATATCTTTCCTCTATGATCACTATTATTTCATCTTTATCAAAATGATGCACATCACCACCAAGAGCATAAAGTCCCATAAAGATGAAACAATAATATAAAGATGTGGACCTTAAATAAAAAAGGATATGTAATGATGAAATATTTGTTAATGATGGATTAGTTAATACTAAGGACTTCATCTTACTAAAGTCTTTACAAATAGTATATTCAACCTTAGTGTGATTAAGGCTTCATTTGAGATGACTTTCTTACTGATTCTTAAAACGGTGTTATAGAATTTGTGCTTAAACACTATTTTAAGAAGCAATAAGAAAATCATCCCAAATGAAGCCTGATGCAGGTCATTTAAACGTGCATTGCATGTAAAATAATATAAGCTTGACTTAAAGCATTAGCATGCCAATTTCCAAACACAACATAGTATCACAAAATAGATGTTCTTTGATTTCAAATATAACTTTTATCATATCTAGTCTTAGGATATATCAAACTATCATTCAAATATATAATCAATAAATGTTATAATGAAATGTTTCAAAATATGACAATTCCCATGCAAGCATCATGTGCATTAATCGACTCAAAAGATATTACCAATCCGATATATAACCCATCTTTTGATTTTAAAACTAAATTTTCATTGATCACCCTCTCTCATTCTCACTTAATGATAACAACTTCTCAAATTAGTTTGATAAATGATCACAACACCAATCAACAAAGCTCACATTGAACTATTGATCGAGAGTTTTTGCTACCAACTAACAGGTTTTGAGTTTGAATCTTTAGTATGCATTGTGTGTGTAAGTTTATCTTAATTTGCCTAAATGTTCAAAAAAAAATCCTAATACAATCATGGTATATAAAACTGTATTTCTAAATGTTCCAATTCAATCATTATTCATTCATAGGCAACCTCTGAGGATTTGCAATATTAATAAACTTCTGAAGGAGGAATTTGAAGCCCTCATTTGAGTACAAAATATACTGATATTACTTCATAATTCTTCCATTTACCTCCTCAATGCTCCTGTTATTATTCTCATGAACCGGATTAGCTTCTTTTACAGTCCACAAAGACTTACCATAGCTGAACCAAGTCAATTACACAAGCAAAATTGCACTCAATAACTTCACTCATACCAACATCCCCTCACTTAATTTTCATACTCTCAAACTTTAGCTCACCTGATTTTTATTCTCGCACACTTATTTTACTCAAAAAATTAGAGAACTGAGGAGCTAAATTACTTGGACATTAAAAGCATATATCTCATCTCTTTTAACCAATGAGGGCATAGAGACTATCCTAGCATCAATCAACTAGGGTTCCCATGACCTAAAAGCTCGATTTGATTATTCTGAGCTAACACCTGAGTCTCTTTAGTAGTTGATTCCTATGTCTGCCCAGATATATGAATTATTGGGATTGGAACTTATCCACCCAACACCTCCATCTTCCTCTTCAAAAAATCAATATGCTCATACAAAATTGTTTGGTCAGCTTAGCTTCACACTTCTAACCTTCAAAATGGAGATGGAGGGAATTTTTAGTTTGTCTATAGTTACCTTCATTTCAGAACGACAACAAGGTAATTATACTCCAAGCATCAATCCTTATCACCCATGTGGTACTGATAGATACATTCACACACTTACATTTTTCCTCCACCCTCTAAGCCAGCTCCATCGTCTCTCTCAACCCCCTAGGCCTTAGAACCTTGAGTTTTGCCCGTATGTCCTCCCTAATTCCCTTCATGTCCTTTTCTTCCTCAGAGGTTCCCCTCAGTCTCTCTGACAATAGATCAAATTTATCTCGATACTCCATAATTGCCCCCTCCTGCATTAGGGCAAAAAACTGCTCGTAAAGGTCCCTTTCCTGGATGGCTCAAAAATGTTCCAACAAGCACTCCTTAAATTCCCGCATGAGTAGATCGGATACCTTGCCTCCCTCCATCGAAACCACGCAACCACGCAAGGGCTTTCCCCTCCAAACATAGATTTGTCACCAAGAGTATTTCCCCTTCAGTCAGTCCATTGATGGCAACATAATGTTCCACATGGTACATCCAACCCTGAGCATCCTCCTCTTCAAAGACGGGCATTTTTAGCTTCCTTGCCCTCGCAGCCATACCCCACTGGTTCCTTCCCCTGTTGGTTCCCCCAGTGTAGTGGTTATGTGATTCCCTTCCTTCCTCCTTACCGTCCTCCCTTAAGAATAACCCGATCCTCCACCCACAGGGCTCCTCGTGGCGGTCCTTGATGGAAAACACTCTGCAATTCATTGTCATCCTCCTAAATCTCTTTTCCCCGTGGTTCCATCCTAGGAATCGCCAGTGATGCTTTTGACTGCATCTCAAGTATCTTTTTCATCATCTCTTCAAAATTCCCAAAGCTGTTCGGAAGTTAATGAATGAATTATAATCAAATTCCTGCAAATTGCGTTCTTGTGAGAGCTTGAGAGTCTTTGGAAAGAAATCCCTATGAAAGGAAATCGGATCACCCACCAACTTTGGAAGTGTCCGGGTTTGTGGTTATTTTTTATTCCCTATTGTCTCTTCTTCCTCTTCCCCATCCCTTCCACCACTCGGCCCCACCACCTTCACATAGACCGCCGACCACCTCCCCGCCATTTCCACCGCCACTCATCCTAACCACCATCCCACCTTTTGGCCAAGTCCCACCACACCTTCCCCACCCTTCCTACTTGGCTACATCCCATCACCCTACTACAAAGCTACCCGAACCCCACCAAACCTAGCCTAGCTGTTAGCCTACCCCTTCCCCTTTGCCTCTATAATTTTCAAACTCCTCATCACTACTTTCCTTTCTTACTTAATCTTTTTGGGAAAGTTTTCAATTTCAATTATTCAAATCAATTTTAAATTTTGAAATATTTCCTAAAATAGAATCCTATTTTAGGAAAGTTTTTAAATCAAATCCAAATTAAATTTGAATTGAATTGGAATTAAAATTATCTTCCTTAATTTGAGAATCCCATTTAAGTATCAAACCCTTGCCTAATTCCCCAATCCCCATTGATGCTGTCAGCCCCTCCTTGCCTCCACCTCCTTAATGCTTTCCAAAATAAAAACCTCTCACTTGGGAAAGAATTTAAATCCCTTTTTTTCCCTCCATTACCCGCCCCCTCTCTCTCCAATTTCTCTTTAAATCCTTTCCAAACTTAAAGGATTAATTAGGAAAACAATTTCCCAATTTCCCTCCATCCTCACTCCTTAAAATCTGAACCAAAATCTCCCCAAGCTCCCTCATTTGGCTGGCCACCCTACTTGGATACCTTAGAGAAACTTTTTTCTCTCAAGGGGAACCCACAAGGACAGCAAAGGGCATCTTCTACAACACTTCAACAGTACAAAATCGATGCATGGTCGATCCTGAACTTGACTCCGGCTTCGTCTACAATGAACAAGGCTTCGTCGACATTCTTTGATCACCTTTTCTTCAACGTCAATCTGGAAGTAGACAATTCCGCCAAGGAATACTTGTATCGTATCATATACATCCTATCAAAAGCCATTAAAGAACAGCTTTCCACCATTTAGTGGCAAATCACCGCCCAGCCTCGATGAGGGTGAACTTTTCCCCTCTTCAATTCCTTCCTAATCTTCTTCTATTATCTTCTTCTATTATAAGTTGTGAATCAAGCATAAGGAATCGTGCAAAGCTATATGTAAAAGCTTAGTAAATGTAGGGAATGAGTTATTACTTTCTATGCATCTACTCTCATTGTTAATCTACGGATGTTTTTGAAAATTCCCTAAATCTGCTTATGTTGAAGTTCTAATTGTTTTGGTGATCTTAACTATTAGCGTGTAATTTGACCTAAGCAGAAGCATCCATCTTTTGTTTTCTATTATCGTTAAGTGGCTAACATTTTAATTCTTATTGCTCTTACTTAAAAGCGTTCAAATTCTTATTACAATCATTTAAATCATACATAGCCCTACATCAGGTTCCCGATAGCCGAGAGTCTTCCCTCCACCTCATAATATTTTTTTCTCTACTGCAGGCTTAAGTTGTTCCATCTCACCCTCTAATGCATCCATCTTCTTTGCTTCCATTAATTGAATCTAGGTTCTAATCACAAAAACAATGAAGAAACTTTATTTTTCCATCCAAGAAAGTGCTCTGATACCAATTTAATATGAAACAAATTCAGAAACTATAACAATGATGGCTGAAATTAGGGCTTTTAGCCAAAAACAACCAGAACCGAAAAAAATTCCTTCGAGAATAAGTAGGAAACTTAATAACATAAGAAAAACGAAAGAAAACAAATAAGATATAATGGATCTTCAATTCGAGAGGAAGATACGGCTCTCCTGAAATCTAGTCGACGGCTAGAGCCCAAGCAAAACCTAGAGAAATAACACCTCAAATAATTTCCCTCCTAAATTGCCCCCCTCTTATTTGAAATCACCATCAATGCATGGGCCCCACAAGGGGGTCAGCCTGCTCCCAATTCTGCCTAGCATAGACTAGCAGCCGGCCCCAGTGTTGGGCTGGATGGATCTATCAAAATCATAAGTAGAGCAGAGTTTGAAATCAAAGATATAGTAAGATTGACATTAGAGACGGGAGTAAATGCTCCAACAAGATCATTACCACCAATTCAATGACCACTCTCCCCTTAATACTTTCCTCCTGCATCCACAATAGCTTCATTCGTTATAACCTTGATATTAGGCTCAAAAGGTGGAATGTTGTGTCCCGCTAACTATCATTGAAAAGTTTCACTACATAATGACAAAATTAGTGGACATATAAAATACATCATAAAACCACACTCATGTAATAAGAAAATTTATCATTTATCATACACATATATTGCGCAAGCATAAGACTTATTAGGAAATCAATTGAAATGAAGAACAAAAATACGTAAGAATCATTCAGTATGATAAGATCATTTTTCTATATATAAATAATTCAATCATTTTAAATGCATAACTTGGGATGTTCAACTGTATATATAGCTAGCAATCATGCAAATCATTCAAATGGAGGCAAATAAGGCATTATCACAAGACCTAAAAGACATGTGAAGATGAATCATCAGGTTTATCTTCCACTTTACGCACAGTTACCTTCACAAACAAAGATTTGTTAGAGCCCCTCATAAGTCATAACAATGCAGATGCAGGTGAACATGAACATACACTCTGGTAGAAGAAAAGCTTGAAGATGACTTAAAATGCGTTTAAAACACTATTCATTACTTAGAAGAAGAGTTTGAGCCACAAAAATCAATAGCAGCAAAAATTAAGTAGAAAAACAAAATTCCTCTGGGGTTCCAATACCTGTATGTCGGAAGAAGCCCACGTTCATCCTAAGGCTAGAGTTGAGACTGAAAAAACATAAAAATCAGAACTAGATGTCACCAGAACTCTATCTGAAGATTGCTTTATACATGAATTTCTACTAACCGATCTCCAAATTCAAGATTCAAGGACAAATCCAACTAATGATGCCTCAATGCAAGGCTTCATTCTTATTGTCATGCTTTTGACGAAATATATAAATGATTAAGAGAAAATAATCAAAATGATCCCTTTACTCTTTATTAAGGACTAAAATAGTTCTCAACTATATTAAAGGGTCATTTTGATCCATTAAGGCTTTAAAAAGCAATAATCATTCTTCTTTAAAAAGTTGAAAGACCAAAATATATAGTTGAAGATTATTTTGTTTGATATTTCATAAAGGGTCAATATTTCATAAAGGGTCAAGGGACTATTTGATCATTTTCTCAAACGATTAACATGCTCACAAAAATAAAATGCACTCCATCAAAAAGTCTGATCATGAAATAATAAACCCTGTCCATATTTTTCACATAAATCAAAAAATAAAATATCTTAAAAAACAAAGCTGAGACTACTCAGAACAGTGATCATAATCGCTTCTTTTCTGGAGATTCTTATAGATGCATAAAGACAGGCATTACAAAACAATTTCAAAAGTCAATACATTAATTGCGATCTCAGGATTACAGTTTACAAAAGAGCAGCCAGACAAGTGTTCTTCAATGATAAAAAAGGATAACTGTTTTTAATCAGCAAACTTGAGAGCTCCAGGCAACTGCAAATCAAAACAAAGTAAAAAGGACATCATACTCAACAAATATATTAAACATCCAGATTCTGTAAACTTCAGCCAATTTAATGGTTAAAATTTGAGACTTCCAAAGTTTCACCGTCCGTCAAATTTCTAAAAGAATTTCATATGCAACTTTCAATTTATAAAATCCAATGAAATGATCTTATGGTTAAAGATTACAACTAAACCGAATAGTTTGCTTGTACTGAAGTGAGAGATTTGAATGTAATTACCCTAAGACAATGTTAGTTCAAGAGTGTTATAATACACCTGTTTAGCGTTTGCGCCCAGAAGAAGAGTCAATCGATCTGGATCTTGATCCAGATGGTGAATATGAGGGGTGCCTTTGTTCCTTCCTGCAAAATGAAACATTATCGAGACATTATGAATGGAATTTAATAATTTATAACTGATGTGCTCTCCAAATCAAGCCTGCTAACTTCTAACAAGCACTTCAAGCTAACAAAAGAAGAATATCGATTCTAAACATGTTTTCATACCCCAAAATGGAAGTTATCTATGATGTGCTCTACAATCAATTCAAAGATTCACTGAGAACGTGAATATCACATTTAATAAGAATATTGTTGCTAAAATACATGATAACTTACTTATAATCATAAGTAGCCCCATTTCTCCCAGCAACATCACTCTCCGGTGAGTTTGATCTGCGTCTCCGATCCTCCCCATGTCCATCTCGATAGCCTATGGGGGATGATCTTGACTGTTGTGGCAACTTTCCTCTTGGAGAAGCAGAGAATTCCTCACGATCAACCTGCTTTCTATTGCCATCACTATGTTTTGGAGAATATGATCTACGGCTTTGCTTCTCACCGCGTCCTTGTGGGTATCCTCGTGGGGATCTTGAATGAGCCGGTTGCCTTCTTGGGGAAGCAGAATAGTCATCCCGGTGTTTTGGTGCAGGAGAGTATGATCTGCAACACAAAAAGAGCTCAGTTGCAAACTTAAAAAAATCAATTTCAACTTCTCACAAGCTGGCATACGCTAACTTCACTTGGTGTTTTCTCCACTTACCTCGAACGATGACGCATCCTTGCGTCGGATGGTTGGTGTGGAGATTGTGATCTTGAAACTGACCGAGATCTTGAGCGCCCTAATGTTGAACAAGAACCCAATAAAAAAAACATCCACAATAGGCAATGTTTTATTATAAATAAGATGGAGAGGAGATATCAAATAACCAAACATTATAGCCATTCATCAGCAAGCATGAGATTTGATATTTATTGGTGAGCTGGGTGACAAGTTTCTAAATGCCAAAAAAAATACAACTGAACCAAAAAAGTCGAAGTGATGTTAAAACCAACAGAAAACTTGAACCATTTTAACATGAAAACAATCCATCTGAATAAAGTCAGAAGGATACCATTTGTTTAGCAAAAGCACGATTGCTGATGTAAATGAATGGTCTCTAACAAACTAAACTACCAGATCTTTTAGCAATCCCAATAGCTAAAAGATAGCCACAAGTAAAATGCTTCGGAAGCAAAATTACCCGAGAATTTTATGCAATATAGATAAAAAGAAAATAGCTTAAATTTTTATTAAACATCAAGAAGCCTAAGAAGTTGATAGGGTTTTTACTCTTGTTACCATGTATTAATAATTTAAAACCCTACAAAAAAGGGTAAGAGAGCAGGCCAATTCCTACCCCCATAACAGAGAGAGATCATCAAACCTACCATTTAACCAAACGCATATAAATCTGAAAAAAACAATTCACACCTCAATTCAGAGGATCAGGTATTCAAGAATCACAAACAATAATATGAGAAAAAGTTTGAGATTATCCAACCACCGTCACTCCCTCCCTCTCTGTTAAATCACAACCATCCCTTGACACTTGATCTCACGGATAGGATGGGAATCCGTGGGAGGCTCACCTAGATCACACCTAGATCACATCTATCTCCTTCTATATTTGGTTGTATGATTTAGGAAGGATTATATTAACAATTATGCATGTCTCTGTAGTTATTTGTTTCTTTATTAAAACATATTGTATAGATCTATAAATAGAGATAATTTCATATAATAAAATTAAGCTTTTTCTCTCCAATTTTCTGAATTTAATACACAATACTATAAAGGCAAAATTTTAATTATCAGCAATTCAATATAAGTCAAAGAGAAGACTGGACAAAAACAAATTATGTGCATATTACAAAACTTTAAAATTTCCTCTCAAACAATAGAAACCTAAGAGATACAAATGTACAAAAATAAGTAACAAACAAAAATGAAACAGCCAAGAAAGGAGCATGGAGTCATGTAGGCACTATGAAAAAATAGCCAAGCATGCTTTTAAAGCATTTGATTTGACATGTGATAAGCCCATGTGCAACAAGTGTGGAGTCTAACACAAACACAAGGGCTTCTAAAATTGCATGTGCTTCCTAGAGGCTTGGTGATAGCGACACAATAACTCGGAACTCTTCCTGATGCCAATAGCCAATAATGTTTTGATGAAGTTTGGTGTTGCCGCTTCATAAAGGTGAAGAAAATGAATCTTGTATTTAGGGGTGTCAATTGCCTCTCATTTGCGACAGCTCGTGTTCAACTCTTAAGTAGCTCTTACTAGATCGTTCATTAAGCTAGCCCAACACTAACAGAACTTTGTTTGATCATGTTTGGGTTTTATAAGCTATATAAGAATTATAAATTCCAGCTGCAGTTCTTCTTAGCACCAAGAATTGTCTTATGCGGCTGCACTTTATATATGCAAAAAGTTAGAAGTAAGAAGTTAAATATTAATTGGAAGCAAAACGTTATATTGTTTATACGTTATGAATATCAACACTAAAGCAAATGCATTCTTGCATGTGGGATTACCAATTGAATAAACATTTAAAAAAGCTTTAATGAATTTTTTAAAGATTTAATATGACATATCATGCATTTAAAAAGTTTTAAAATTAAACTTATTTTATAAGATTGTTTATAAATTACAATAAGCCAATTCAACTCAATTTGAGCAAAACAAGCTTGTTACAAATGATATGAATCGAACTCTATAAAGTAATGAAATTTTCGAGCGCAAATTAAGTTTGAAGAAAAAAAAATTGAAACGAGTCAAACACAAATAGACAATTAACTACCTCATATTCCCCTCTCTCTCTCTCTCTCTCTCTCTCTCTCTCTCTCTCTATATATATATATATATATATATATATATATATATTGCACGAAGATTGAAGTGCGCTATGCTTACAAATATCCGCTATTTATAAAAGGGATTTTACATCTATAAAAATAAAAAGTGACATAAGCACAATCAAAATAAATCAATCATGAATTTTTAATAAAAAATGAGTCTTCTATGAAAGTTTAAAAAAAAACAATTTATTAAATATTTATTACACGATCAATCCTAACACTAGATGCATGTCCAAATAAAGTATATTCTAATAAGATCAGTGATAACATTTCATATAATTGTTTCTTAAAAATCTCTCGGTTTACAAAGAACGCTTACCCAAGAAGTTAAAGAAGGTGCCAATGTTGGAACAAAAGTATCAAAGAAAAAAAAAACAATGGAGAGCTACCAGAGATTTGACAATTGTTTAGGCGAGCAATAACCAAAGAGTATGGTCATTTGGTGGCCCAAAGGAGGCCATCAAAAAGGAGCAGGGGTTATAAGTGATTGAATTGCCAGTGGAGAGTCTAGGAACTTCTAAGGTAGATGTCAACATACTTTATTTGACAAATCAGTAACATGAGGAAGGATCCCATGATAATACATGGTTATGGCAGTGTGGAGATATGAAATCAAACAATAACAACGATGCAAGCAATAGTATGAGAAATTAAGTAGCACCTAGTATAACCATTATAACATCTAGTGAAGAATCTAGATGTTGCCATACGTTATTCTACAATGCATGAACTCCACTATAAAAATTGAATTATGGCATTTGTTCAAAAACAAAGTCAACCTATAATGGAGTGGTGGTAGTATAAAAAGCTAGGAAACAACATATATAACCATCTTTAGAGGCTAGGGAGCAACAACAGTTGCTCAAGTCTCCTCAAAGTTTATTTTAGCATCAATCTATAACAAATCTACTATGACAAATCAATAACATGAGCAAAGATCCCATGACAATATTACTATGACATTGATGGGATTATGAAGTCAACCCATAACAATGATGCAAGCAATAGTATAGGAACTGAGTAGAGGACCATGTATAAATATAATAACATCTAGTGGAGAATCTAGACATCATCATACACTATGCTCCTACGATGATCTCAAGAATAAAAATTTGATTAAGGCATCAATGGAATACAAAACCCAACTTATGGGGTAGTGGGGAGTACAGAATGTTAGGGAATATGCATCACCAACTTAGAGAGTAGGAAGCAACAATAGTGGCTCAAGGCTCCTCGAGGTTTAGCTCAGCATCAATCTATGGTAAATCTCTTATTCAAGCTCGAATGCAAGCTCGTCCTTAGGCACAAAATCAAACTCAAGTTCATCCACATCATTAGACTCAGGATCAGGTAAACAATGAGGTGGAATGTTGTGAAAGTAGTAAAGTTGGTTGAACATCTAGGAATGGACTACGGTCCTCGGACCACCGTCACTTGAATGCAGTCCTCCGACCACTGTCGCTCGACTACGATCCTATGACCACTATCGCTCGCTACGGTCCTTCAACCACCGTCGCCGAACTACAGTCCTCCAACCACTATTGCCTGACTAAGGTCATGCGACCACCGTGGCAAGACCTAATTTAGGCCTCACTAATGAAGGGGGATTGGTTTGACAATTTGGGGTGGAGATGGCCATGGTATTGGATGAGTTTCTAATTTCTAATTCAATAAGAAAGCTTGCCCTTTTTATGTCCTTTCTTTTCCTTCATAGCCCTGCAGTTTTCCATAGAATTTCCAACACGATGTCTTTTTTTCATGTAATAGCTACACTAGATTGCTTTTGAAAAAAAAAAATTATCCTTGTTAGACACACTATATAGATTGCTTTAGAAAAAAAAATTATCCTTGTTAGACATTGGGATTCAGTGTAGACATAGCAAATGTTTCAGAAACTGGAGTATCAAGAATTACAATCATTCTTTTTAACCCATATAAGTAAGAATAGCCCGTTTAGAAATGGCAAGTTTTCTATGCTTAAGATTTGAACCCAAACTTAATTGAAATTATTATCAATTCCCACAATGAACTCAAATACAATTTCTCTTTCTACAAATTACTAAACAATTACCATATCATCGCAGCATGATATCTTGAGATCTTGATAATAGCCTAATTCAAGCCAATAAACCTTCATTGCAATGAAGTATTCAATAACATTGAACATACCATACATGGTTGTCAATATCTTAATTTTGATCTCATAGATAATAATGCCTTTTACTTTTGAGTATGTTTGTTCAATTGAGTCCCAAATTTCTTTTGGTAGATAAAAATATAAAAAAAACTACTGATTTCAGGCATTATGGCATTCCACAATCATATGATATGACCATGGAATCAGCTTTATCCCAAGATACAAACTTTGGGTCAATCGGCTTTAGAAGAAGATCACAAGATGATGGATCTTTCTCTGTCACTTTAAAAAAACTTCACAGTTTGAGACCACCTAGGACTCCTTGAAAATGAAGTTAAAAAAACAGGAATAATAATGAGAATGACGAATCTCGATAAATAAAAGATGAAAAAAACAATAACAAAGATTGGAAGAAGAAAACCCTAAACCTTGCTCTGATGTCATGTAGACTAGAAAAGCTACCTTGAATTTCATTGCTTACTTTTTGTGCACATATTGGATGTATTTGTAAACTCCTAGGAGATTATATATTGAAAAAAAAAAAAGTAAATATAATTTACTCAAAATAAAGGCCAATTGAAGGGAGAGAAGTACATGGATTGTAATCCAAGGATTAAGAGAGACAAGATCCAAGGTTAAGCTCCTCAATACATGCGCTCAATAGATCATAATATAATTGGTTGCATGGTAGGACTCGTGGCTCTTCTTGGGCGGATGAAGGAAGGAGGTAGAGTAGGTCTCATGGTCTTCAATATATATAGTTTACATATAATATACCTCTAATTAGTTATTTAACAACAAAAATATGTGAAAATTCAAAAAAAAAAAAAGTGGAGGAAATATTTAACAAAGAGAGGACTTGGAATGATTTAAACATAGAATAAATATATGTTATGTAATTTTAGAAATATGATATTTGCCATTATCATTCCATATTATTGCTAAGGTGATACCTAACTATGTATGTTTTTAGGTATCAAAAATCCATTATATATAAAATGAAGACAAAAATAACGACATAACTTCTAGAGTTAAGTTTGAAAAGTTAAAATGAAGAAATGCCTAAGAGTTTTGTGTAACAAGTGAATATTATTGAGGTTGAAAAATAAATTTTATAAAATCGTAATTATGCAGCAATAATGTATGAATCTAATTAACAGTGTATTAAAATTTCATTAATATCTAAATTTTGTACAACACAAAACGAGAATGTTAAGTTGGAAGTATACAGAACTATGAAGGATAAATTAAAAAACGATAAAAGGAAAAGTTGGAGTGGCAACTATTGAATATAATGCAATTGGAAATAGACTTAGATAAATTGGGCATGTACAATAAAATAGAAAATGTACCCATTAAACATATTGATAAGATTACTACTAGAAGATTAGAAAGGAAAATGGATACATATAATTTTATATGGATAGAGGCTGCAAAAAATAAATTTAAAACCCAAGAGAACACTCAATAAGAACTAACAAAAAATGAGAAGTTATAAGGCTAACCCAAAAAAAGTTGGGATAAGGCAAATGATTATGATAACGAATCTTATCAAAGAGTTCACAAATGCATTCAAGTGACATTCTAAATAGGAAACTTATGTCTTTTTCTTAAGGGACTAGGGAGGCCAATTCAAGTTCAAGAGTATCGTATAGGTCCAACATAAAAATGACTCAACAAGAACTCAATTAACTCGAACTCAAGTTGCATGTTAAATAGGGAAAAAAATCTTAACTCCAACCTGACCACCAAGCTTGAACCTGAATCCACATAACACGAAAAATATTTAAGTTGTCACTAGTTAGTGTCAATCCGACCCAAATCGAACACAATTATATGAATTGGACACATTAATTCACGAAAAAATACCAAAAAATATAATATTTTGTTAAGTTTTTCTTTTAAAAAAAACAAATAGTTAAGTCAGTTTTTTGGTGTTAACCTTTACCAAACTTGATTTTTTTAAGTCACTTAAATTGATTCCAACCATACCCAACTCTTAAATGGGATGAACCCTAAATTTTTTGTGTTGGGTTTGAGTCAGGTTTTTGTGTTAGGCATGAATTTGGGTTTCATGTCAATTCAAATACTGACACCTGATATGGGATTCACTAATACAAATCAATTTCCAACTTATTTGTATAACCCAATTGCTTCTTAAGCATATAACTAGTTTTTCTATCTCCCTCAATTCCTTTGATCTTATTGGTTTGTTAGCTAATTAACCCAACCAAATAATAACCATTTTGATAAATTCAAGGGCTAAAGTTGATGAATGGTTAAGTCACAAAACAATAAAATGGAGTAGGAAACGCACTTTTTACGTTATAGTTACTGGCGCATATTCTATAATGAGGTTTCAACCTATCAAGAAGCATTTTTTACTATGACATTAAAAGAGTTTTGAAGCATAAAAAATGTTTGGTTTCAAGTGTGTTTGTTCTTCAATTTGAAATTTCCTAACTTTGCAAATAAAGCACTAAATAGCACAAACAGCAAGGGTAGGAGAAAATAATGACAAGAAATTAATAATCCTTCAGTTTATTCTTTCACGTAAGAATGCCCCTTAACAAATAGGAACGAGATTATAATCATAACAGGAGATATTTGTAAAATAAATAATTTAAAGCCAATCAGGCAAATGGAAAATTAATTCAAAATAATAATTTAAAGCCAATAAGACAAATGGAAACTTAATTTCATATAGCAATTACAGAGTATAACAATTAAGAGTAGACCAAGGCTTTCCATGTTGTAATGAGAAAAGCTTAATCTCTTTCTTCACCGTATATATTAAAATGCACCATGCGTGAATCAAAAAGTTGAATTCAAGAAAGAAATGTTGGGTAAAGTACTGTGCATATCCACCACTAAACATCAAAAAGACTTCAGGAAGTAGTAACTAGAACAAGTATTTACCATAATATGAAGAGCGGCCACCATCATAACCGCTAATTGCCCTGAGCAAAAATGGCAAGTAAGAAATGGTATATTCCATAACATCCAATTGAAGTCAATTTAAAAAACAAAAGACGGCGGGTAATATGAATGATTATGAGATTTGTTACCTAAATCTGGTTCTTCTGCGCATATCTTCAGGCCTTTTCCTGGTTTCTGAAGCAACAACAACAGTGATTTCCCTACCATGAAAGATTTGTCGATTCATGTGATATTGGGCCTCAGAAGCATCATATGGGTCAACAAACTGCACAAAAGCAAATCCCCGTGGCTCCCTGCATTTATTTCACATTTCAACATGTTTAAAAAGTATGTGAAGCAGAAGACATGCAGCAAACCATACTTCAAAGCAGTATAGCAATGATGCACACTATGTTTACCGTCAATAAATATCACTTAATATGTCTCCCTATAGTGCTTGAAGAAGAACAAAGTATGGCATATAGCTTCCATCAAATGGGCACCCAAAGTGTCTTAAAAGATGTTTTGCAGTCCACCTTAGTATCCAATCTTTCATCTATAGTCGCTCAGAGCAACATCAAACAATGCAAATCACTTCAAAATCTTCACAGGTTTGAACATTCAAGAAACACTTGATATCAACAAAGCACCAACTATCTTCGCATGCAATTCAACTTCAATTGGTCAACATGCTATCTTCTCTTTCACAAACTTACATGATGATGACTTAATATTGTCTTCAAAGAAGAACTCCCTTCATATCAACATGACTTTACCACTTGACCAAATGATTTAAAATTAAGCAATCCTAAACAGTGGTCTTCATCAAATGCAGGGCTTGTGTTTACTTGAAACCATACCACCCCTGAGAACCAGTTCAACAAACAACTCACAATATAAAACTAAAGAGTTAAAAGATGAGAGTAGAAAAGGAGGATAAAACAACCATTATTAGTATTTGACTGCTTAAAGCTTCTGTTCAATTCAACCAATGTCTTTAGCAGAGAAGATGATGAATTTAATATTCAAAATTTTGGTATGGGGAGATAGAGAAAATTTATATTAAGGTAACGTAGTTGTAATTATAAAGTAGGTCCCTCCAAAGAAACAATGCAAAACCACTCATTTTCACAATGGAAAGCATTTAATACATGAAAAAGGATAAGAAATGTCATATTGAAAACCCATGTCAAAAACATGTCAAAATCAAGAGAACGCAGAATTAAAAAAATAAACATAGTAATATAAAGTCATTCAATATCTAAAGCTCACCCAGAATAGTAATCCTTTGGTATGTAAACATCCCTAACTGGGCCAAATCTTTCAAATGGAACACGAAGTTCTTCAGCTCTGTAAAATAAAGCAGTGACTTGAGCATATCCAATATTGCCAGAACCCAATGTGAGAATGAGAATAAATTCTTCCATTAAATAGCTACAGCTGTCCAGAGTCGTATGCATATTCTCAAATAACTCCTTCAAATTTACCTGCAATTCAGGGGTATATTTCGAACTAAAAGGCTCCCTTGATTTTGATCTCTTCGACCACCATATCCTCTCCTAGGTGGACTTCTTCCTCTGCCACCATATCCCCTTCTTGGCGGGCTATGGTAACCAGGACTGTACCTCCTCATAATAGATCTGCACAACAATACACTGCAAAAAAATGATGCCTCAATTTACACACTAGAACATAAAGAAGCACACTTGCTAATAGAATTCCATTTTAAAAGAAGTTTGAGGCTGTATCGTCTGTTGTCTCGTGAAAAGCTACATCACAAAAAATCATTATATAATTTGATCAGCCCAATTTTTTTATGTGATGACTAATGATAGTGAAAACACACTGCAGCCGCTTTCCCGGCATCTCACATTCAGAACTGAGACTGTTAGGCAGGAATTAAAATATCTAGCTATGCCAGTAAGCATTCTTACTCGCTATAATCAAGAACGTTTGCCTTGAAATATAGACAGTATAGTATGGAAGCTTCATAAACTTATCAAAAGTGAAACCTCTAGCTGACAACCAAAATAAAGTCAAAGAACCTACAATGAAATCTTAAATAAAGGACTTCTACTAGAGTGAAAAGATCTATCTCACAAGGAACAAATCAATAGTTTAACAATAAAGTAATCTTGGAGCAGTATTACAATCTACCAATACAGGATCGACATGATGCTGGGCGAATAATATAAAACCAGAGAAACTAAAAAAAGGAAAAAAAATCTTTAAAAAAAAAAAAACAAGAAGAGAGATCAAGCGCCATGAAAAAATATATGGATGCGATATAGAGAAGCTATTTTAATGCGATCCACAGAAGAACTTCATAAAGGAAAACTGTTGTTGCAGATTAGGGCTTCGTTTGGGAAAACTTTCTTACTACTTTCTAAAGCAAATTTTTAGCACAAAAATTGCTTAAAAGTAGTAAAAAAACAGCGGTCAAAACTGACTCAAACGACGAAGCCTAGGTCTGTAAAAAATTAACTTGATGATCGCTTAGATATGAAGAGAAAACATGTGTATTCTCTGGACTATCGATCACTAACCTTCAAGGAAATCAAGCGCCCTGCTGAAAAGAGAGAAAAAAAAACCCCAAAAAACCAGGCGATGACCAGCAAAGAAATTGCAAACCGGCAAACTTCTCTATAACCCTAACTGCTTCGCCGGCCAAATGCGACAGATCGAAACGTTGAACCCACCGATCGTGAGCAGATCCGACGGCTCAAACTGGCCAAAGGTCATTAGATGCGACTCGTAATTAGAACCAAGTTTATATGATCAAATTGAGTTTAGGCCGTCATTTTAGAAATCATGAGAGATTAAATATGTTTATATATGAGTTCTATGTTTTGATATTTAATATTCAATTATATTTTGCCTCCTTTTAATTAAAATTTAATAGGATTTATATGCAAATCATATAATTATTATGTATTTATAAATCTGCTTTAAATTTCAACATTTATTTATATATTATATTAATATCTTAATCACAACAAAATATGTACATGAAAAATATATATTTCACTTCAAATCTATATATAATGCTTATGTTTATGATGTGATTTAAAGATTTTGATGTTATTAATTGTTGGCACATGATATAATATGTTGAAATATTGATATTATTATTATTATATGTTTTGAGGCCCTAAAATAATTTTTAAATTTTGTATAGCAAACTTTTTAGCAAATCTTGAAGACACCAATAGATTTTTAATTGTCATATGTAGTTATTGTGCTTGAAAAGAAATCACAAAAACACAATTGAAGGGCGTGAAATCAAAATTTAAGAAATCATTGTCGTTACCACCACCATCAAACCATCACTATGCCGCTACTGTCAAACTACCACCGCCTAAACATTATTGTCGAACAACTACTATCTAAATCATCTCCGTTTGACAGTTCATGTCTGACCTCCATCGTCAAAACATCAACACCCAACGTCTGTCCTCAGACCACCACTATTGTTAGACTGCCACCACCTAATAGCCATCATGCAGCTGTTGTTCGACCTCTACAATCAAATTGACACCACTCAACCTCTATTGTCAAACAGTCATTGGCTAACCATTATAATCAAATTGTAGCAAAAAAATATCCATTGAAATCGCGCACAGTCTTTAATGAACTATTGTTGTCGGACCATGACCGCCCATCATATATCGAATGCATAGGGAGTCATAAATATCTAAATATCTAATTTGTGATAAGCATTAAGAGTCAAAAGGACATGTTTTCTCATATGCAAGCTAACGGGGACTACTGTGAGTGTATTGTGTTGATCTTGAGCTATGTAATATAAATACGCTTAGGTTATATATATATATATATATATATATATAATGAAATCTCACTAAATACATAAATATACAAGCCAACCAAGTAATAAAGTGATAGAGAATAATGTCCATCTCATGAGGAAATATTTTGCTTAAATGCAATTAAACTACTACTATTTAATATAAATGCACAATCTATCCTTCTGAATGTAAAAATGATGTTCTTGAGTTTTTGTCACTTAATGGAGTCTTGCAAGAAACTTATATAGTAATGGAAATAAAATATTTTAGAATAATGAATATAAAATAATATAATTTTCTTAATGAGACTCTAAATTTTATATGTGGATCAGAGCATATGTATCTCTAGATCTCTCTCTAACTTGTAGGGACGCGTCATTTCCACCCGTTTCTTTCTCTCTCTTGGCGATTTTAGTGAGAGCATATCTTGGTATGGCGGGAGGTGACCGAAGCCCCGCTCAAGCAGGGGCAGTGGTGATGGGAATGCAGGCGGGGACGAGCGACAGCGATCAGGAGTTAGATCTGGAGGTTTGAAGAAGCAAGGAGAGTGATCTCCTAGTAAACCCACGACGGTTAAGTCGAAGGGTAAAGATCGAGATGTAGGTAAATCTGGATCGGAAGGATTTTTGGAAGGCCGATGGGATGTCAAGCCGCAGAGCTTGGATCCTAAAATGGCTCTACATATAAGGGCGGATCTGGTCAGTCCAGATCTTAAGGGCTAAGGTGGAGGAATCTCCTCTGAAGCATGATAAGTAGTCCAAACTGAAGTCGGCGGTGAGTATGACGCTCAATCTGACGTTCAGTGAGTTGAATTCATCGATGGAGGTGGAGGAGATCGATCTTACCTTGGATTGCAGGGTCGATATGGAGGAGATTTTTGATGTGAATGCTGGTATGCCGGGTTGGGATTGCACGATGGAGGTATATTCATATCTAGCTGATCGGAGTAACACTATGCTGAATAATGTTGTTATGGATGAATGTATAGTGGCATCGGAGATGGATGTTGCGGTAGAAGTTGTTGTAGGTGTGAACGTAGCTGGAAGCAGTTCCCTGGTTTGAGCAAACCGGCCGGTAGCACTCCAGATGTTTACGAAAATGTTGATGCAGGCCAGTCAAGTGTAAATTGCGGGGAGATTCATGGGAAGAAAGTGACCCAAGGAATTTCGTTCGCGGCTAGTGTTGGGAACCCATGGAGGAAGCCGGAGCATATCTCGATTCTGCATCCAGATGAGATAAATGCTATCTCCGATGATGGGATTTCAATTGATCTCAATCTGGAGATTGTTAAGGCCAATATGGAGATGCTAGAGAATGCCGTTGTGGGTAAGATTCTGTGAAGAAGAGCTTCATACTTCTTGTTGAAGTTGGAGATTCAGCGTCAATGGGGACGATTTGGTGAGTTTCAGCTCACCACTATGGGCTTCGACTACTTTATTTGTATTTTCTCCTCAGTGGAAGCCAAGGAAGCAGTTCTGTGTGGAGGTCCCTGGTTCATTGGTGGTAATCTTGTTGGATTAGATAGGTGGACACCTAGTTTCTCCCTGGCTTCAATGGAGGGATTGCCCTCCCCGGTATGGATATGTTTACCCAATCTCCCATTGCAATATTGGGATGATTGCAGCATCTCCAGAATTGCTTCAAGAATTGGAATTCCTCTCTGGATCGATGCGCAAACTGGAAATTGGGGCAGAAGGGAATATGCCCAGGTGTGTGTCCGGATGAATTTGGCAAATAAGCTACAGGCGGGAATCTGGGTAAATGGATTGAATGGCAGATTATACTAGAAGGTAGAATATGAAGGCATCGGCCTCATGTGCTACGGTAGAGTTGGGCACCGCAGGGAATTCTACCCCTATAAGGTAGCTGGACAAGGTGAACTTTTGAGCAAGAGACTGGATGAGCAGTTAAAGAAGAAAGAGGGAGGGGAAAGCAGTCGTTCAGGGATTCCTACGGGCAGCCTGGAGAAATCTTTTTTGGAACAGAACAGGAAGGGAAATCCGGTGGTTGTTAAGACGGAAAGCAATAGCCAGTCTAGAGCCACTGTCAATTCTGATATAAACAAAGGTTGGAACCACAGCAAGAACTAAGTGGGGATAATAATGTTCGGGAAGATAGCTCACATGAAGCTAATGACCAATTGGGACTGTGGATCCAAGTTCCTCCTCATTGTAGAAGGAGTATGAGGCCACAAGAAAGGAGTAAAGAGACTATTGCTAGTAAACTGATGGTGAAGCCCCCCACTTAGGTGGATTTGAGTAAAATTGCCCCAAAGTAAGATAAAGCCCACCCGCAAGCAGGCTAAGATGGGCTTCAAATAGGCATTATTGTTTACTACATGAATTAAACCTATTTAGCCGAAGGCTAACAGGGTTAAGTTTGTTTCGAAGCTTAGTCAGTTGGGCACCATTGAGGAGCTTCCTAGGAAAAGGAAGAAAGAGGTGATAGAGGATTTTAGCGGTGGGGACGCTTCCCCATTGGTTGTTTAATGTCGTCCATTATTATCTGGAATTGCAGGGGTGCGCGGAAGAAGCAAACGGGTCACTACTTGCGTAACCTCATTGGTAGCAATGAGGTGTTGTTTGTCGGTTTAGTCGAGACGATGATTAAGGATATTACCAAAAATGAGGTGGACAGACTCATTGGTAATAATTGTGATTTTTTCCACTTCCCAACTGTGGGTAGATTGGGAGGATTGTTAGCTTTGTAGAAGAGGAACATTGCTCAGTTTGAGGTCATTACATTGATGGAGCAAGCTTTAATTGGCCATCTGGTGATGCCTAATTCTCAGAAAAGGGGGATTTCCTTAGTCTATGCTAATAAAGACTATCATGCCCGTCGTGCTCTTTGGAATACCATTGGTTCCAGCATTGATGCAGACCTCCCGGTGATCGTAGGAGGAGACTTTAATTGTTGTCTTGATCAAGGTGAGAAGAAAGGTGGTAGAAGATACAGCTACTCGGTGGGAGCTCAGGAAATGGCTGCCTTCCTTGTGGATAATGATTTACATGACTTGGGTTTCTTGGGACCCAGGTTTACCTGGTCGAATAATAAACCGGGAAATATTAAAATATGGGTGAGATTAGACAGAGTATTGATGAATTATGAAGGTCTTCAATTAGCCCCTTTGGCCACTATTAAGCACCTTCTTATACTTGCTTCGGATCACTGCCCACTTTTATTAAACTTATGCCAACTTCCCCGAGAGCTGGTAGCAGATGGTATAGATTTGAGGATATCCGGATGACTTATCCAGCTACCTGGAAGCTTGTTTGGAATAACCTGAACAAGAACGACTATGAGCAGCAGGATGAGGTGCTAAATCGTAAGTGTTCGAGAACTCTCAAGGCTTTATTTTTCTGGAGTCAAAACCGGTTAAAGGAGTTGGGTGAACTGAAGTCTTCACTGGAGGGAAGACTAGAAGAACTACAACTGCTAGAGTCTTCTAATGACGGACTAACTGAAATACAGGACCAAGAGATGCAGAGAAAGGCTGCTGAATTGAATGCAACGCTGGACCATATTACGACCTGGTCGAGATAGAGAGCGAAGTCCAAATGGATCGAAGAAGGAGATGTTAATTCTCACTTCTTCCATTTGTGCCTCAGCATGGAGGAGGGGGAACATAATTCTGGAGGTCCAGAACTCCAATGGCGAAAGGCTTGATGATCTAGAACTCATCTCGGAGGAGTTCTTAAGGTTCTTTATGCTGAAATGGAAGGATAGGCAGGTTGTGTTGGAGATCTGGCCGAATTTTCAAAGAGAAGAGATGATTCTTGAGCAGATAAATGTGAGCCTAAAGGTGGAGATCACGGAGCAGGAGGTCCAGCAAGCTGTGTTCAACATGGGGAACAATCGTGCTCCGGGTATGGATGGTATAACCTCCTCTTTCCTGAAATTTTATTGAGAGATTGTTAAATGTGAGGTTACTCGTGCTATTATTCACTTCTTTTGCTCTAACTCTATGTGTGAAAGCTGGAAGGATACTCTAATTGTGCTAATCCCTAAGAATGATAATGCCAATTCACCGACAAAGTTCAGACCTATCAGTCTTTGCCAATCATTTTATAATGTTGTAGCTAACATCCTAATCAACCGCCTCAAACTGGTGTAGGGCAACATCATCAGTGAAGAACAAGGAGCTTTTGTCCCCGGACGGTCCATTTCCAGCCATGGTTTGATAGCCCAGGAAATGATGTGTAAGTTTCAATATTCTAAGTCGGGTTCTACATTCTATTGAGAAACTGGGGAGAAGCTTCCTTTGGCAAAAAGACTCCAACAGTAGAGGTTTGCACTATGTTGGATTGAGGGAACTGTGCCAACCTAGGGACCAGGGTGGTATTGGATTTCACTGTTTGGCTATTTGGCAGGGACCCTTACGTGCTCGGCTGGCTTGGGAGGTGCTCCATAATTCAGATTTACTACTGTATAAGGTGGTGAGGGCCAAGTATGGGATGGAGTTGTGGAATCTACACAGGTGCGGAAAGCCTCTATCACCTGGAGGGTGATTCATGATGGTGTTAAGGCCCTTAATTCCATACTTAGATGGAAAATTGGGAATGGCCAACACATTAATGTGCTACAAGATTGTTGGATCCTGGACCGAAAGCTAGCTTCTTGGCCTACCTTTGTTAATGTGGATGAAGTGGAGAATGTAAACATGAGTTGGCTGCTTAATGACTCTTCTCAATGGAATGGGGAATTGGTGGAAAGGTGCTTCGATAAGATTATGGCTGAGCGTGTTATGTCTATTAACATAAATGGCGATAATGGGATTGACTCTCCATAACTCATTAATTCTCGGATGAGTACGACGCTGACTGCAATGGCTTATAAGACCAAATTGGGTGGGATTGAGTATCAACTTAGTTGGATGAGCAAATTGAAATTGCACCCTCGGGAGAGTTCCTTCTGGTGGTGGCTCCTTAGAAATGCTATTCCTACCAATTACTGGCTATTTTGCAGGGGGTTATCGACAACGTCGTTATGTCCGTGGGGATGTAACGTGGAGGAGAACCTTGGCCATTGTACTACTCAATGTGCTAAGCTGAAGGAGGTGTTCAGTTTTTTTTAGTAAATGGGGGATCGTCTTGTCGACGGCTAACTTGTTGGAAGATTTTATGATGAAGCTGTCTGCTAACGTCGACAAGAACCCGAGCTTGGGAAGAATAATAGAATATGATGTTCTACTGTTTATCAGTTTTGGCGTGCAAGGAATGAGATGAAGCATGAGAGGAAGTGTAGATCTACGTCCATTATTGCAACCACGGTGCTCTCCCTACTGCCTAAGCCTTACTATTCACCAATCCTGGAGCAATGGAGTACTATCTGGTGGGAAAATTTAGTGTCACCACGCAGATTTTGTTTTCTCCTATTTTGTAATCGAATACTGCATTAAGAATAAAGTACAATCTCGAGGGACTGACACAATATTATATAATGAATTCAATATAAAAATAGAGTTTTGAAAATTTATATTTCTATAATCAAACATAATTCAAAGAATAACATATTATTTCAAAAGATAAACATGAAATTCTTAAGAATGTGTTTAAAAATAGAAATAAACTTTTTGAAAATATTTATTCATTCTTTTATTTAGATATATCAAAGAGAATATTGTATCATCTTAAAAGACGAACATAACATTCTTTGAGACATCCAAAAACAAGAATGAGTTTTATAAAATTCATCATTTCTAAAATTGAATATATCGAATAGGACATTATATTATCTAAAAAAAGAAAATAATAACATCCTATAAGTATACTTAAGATTAGAAATGAAGTTTTTAAAGACATCTGCATTCCCAAAGATTCTTCCCTTGTTTTATATGAATAAAATAAGGTTTATTTTAATCTGAGGTTCTCAAATCCCTATAGGAGCAAGCTCCTATAGTTAATTACATCCTAGGAGGAATACTCCTAAGAAAACTCTCGATTAAAGCAGTGATTTCATACCCTTTGACTACAAAGTAAAAGACAAGGAATAGAAGTAGAAATTTTTCAAGGTGAAAGTTCAATTTTGAACATTTATTAGCGAGTCAAAGGAAGAAAAGTAGGAGGTGTTAGATTCTGAGAAGCCCAGAAACAACCTCAGTCTATCCTATGTTGGGCTTTACATTTTAGGAGAAGATTTTATGTTTGAGTTGACATTTTATTAGAAATTTGGGATTATATTCCCAGAAATCTCTCCAAAAATCTTCACAACAATAGCTTTACTGAGTTTTCTAGCATTCTCTAACTCGTTTTCCTCATGAAGAAGCACCACCCTTCCATCATCAGAAAGAAAAGAACCCAGCTCGAGCTTATCCACATTAATATTTGGCTTTCTCTTCCACGCGAAATTAGCCCAAACATTACTAACCTTCTCTTCCTTATCAATCAGATCTTCTCCGTCAGCCTTTTCTTCGCCAATAAGATTGTCTCTATTATTCTTCTCAGACAAAAAAACATCCACCCCATCTGTTACCTTGGAATCACGGATTATTGACTCCCTCTCAGTCGGAGATGGAGGTAAAGACTTCACCAGTCTCTTTGCATTAAATTTCAGATTACCCGCAGAAGATGATCCTACCTCTTGATCTTTCAAAAATCTTCTTTCATCGTTCAAGAAAGATGGGGAGAAGGACTTATTGAGACCGATTTCTTCTATAACACCTTTACCCTTACCAGGGACAAGACCAGAGGATTTCTCTCTGAATAAAACCCCCCCTTCGTTGATCACCAAAGGTTTATTGCCCAAACCTTTCAAATTATTGTTGAATCCTTCCAAAACCTTTGCTCCGCCATTAAAAACCTCCGACGCATCGTGAACAGCAACCGAAAGATTTTTCCTATACTTCTTCCACGTCTCCGAAGGAAAGAGACGTTTCTGCTCCATCGCCGAGAATCCACCTCGCCGGAGAACCGGATCTCCGGCCAGAAAAGCCGCGAACCCGCCGCCCCGCCAAACCAGGATTTTGAAAATCCAGACAGTCTCTCTCTAACTTTCTCTCTCTATCACCTTGGCAAGATAAGTGCTCCTAAATTACTAATTCCCGATATTTAGATCTATTTGAAATTTAAAATTCAAGTGGATCTTAAATATGTATTTACTAATATCAATCCCCAATTTTAGAAACCTTAATACAATACATTATTTGCTCCTTGATCCATGCATGCCGCCGGCCCCCATAGAGGGAATTTGGGGATTAGTTTCCTAATTCCCCTCTAAATCTCTTTCGAAATATTTCTAATTTTTCCCCTCCACCTCCTTAGCCAAAATTTCCCTCTCTTCGGTTTAAAATTGTTTCCAAAGTGAGCCCCTTACTTTTGGAAACAAAATTAAATCCTTCCCTCCCCATCTTGCCGCCGGCCTCCTTCCCCATACCGCCCTTCTTCTTCTCTAATTCTCCCCTCTCAATAACTCTCCAACCTTCAACCTAAGTCTGAAATTTTATTTCAGATTTCTCTTTTGGCTCTTCCTCCTTGCAATTGCAAGAGAAACTTCTTTCTCTTCACTTGAACTCAAGAGCCCTATCAAGTGCTAAGAAGATTTTACATTCAACCATCCATGAATGGCAAATCCGGCGACTGAATATGGTATAACTTGGGACGAGGACGGTTTCGCTGATATCCTACGATCAACCTTCTCCGACGTGAACCCAAGGATTGATCACACCATCGAAGACTACTTGGAGCGAATCCTAGATACTTTGGTGGAAGCTATTGACGAACACTTCGAAGACATCGAGTGGAGGATCTCCACCCTTCCTTGACGAAGGTTTCTCTTCCTCCTTGCATTTTATCTCTGTTAGTGTAACTTCACTTGGTTTGATTGCAGTCACGACAGACCCCTCTTCATTGCTCATGCTAAAGCTTAGTAAACATAGGATTTGAGTGTACCTTTATATTTTCTAATTTTCGTTGTTAGACTATGGATTATTTTGAAAACTACTACTTGTCATCGTATTGTTTTCTATTTATTTTGGAAGTTTTCAAAACTCTTGTCATGTGATTTAGCCTAAGCAGATGTAACCACTATTTGTTTTGATTCATTGTTTTAAATTGCTAGTAGTTTTGCTCTAAAATTATTCTAATCACAAGTTGTGCGAAATCCAAATGAACTAAGAGCATTTCATTTACGTAGTCTTGTATCAATAGGACAACAGTATTAAATGCATAGAACATTTTTATAGAGGACAAGTTTATTTGTTTTCCTGTGAATGTGTGGCTACAAAAATTTTCTCAATCATGAAGTTTGATGTAGAGCATCAGCATTTTTCATATTGAAAATACAGTGAACAATCAGCAAGGTATATTCTGAAATTCTTCAATAAATGATGGTATATGAGATTCTGCGAGTATGAAAATATGAGCATGCCTGTTAAGAGTAGCAGATACAGTCTCCTGAACCGCAGCTCTCCAGTTGTACCCACGGTTTGAAGTAGTATAGATTGCCCCTTGATCTGTGACCATCTCAGCACTTTTTTCGTCAGTTGCTTTGATGTAAACCTACAGAAGTAATTGAAATTACTTATAAGGAGATATTAGTGCTAATTGAGTAACGGAACTTTTAAAAAAAATCAAAACATCAGAAGGTTAGGTTTTAAATGAATTTAAGAAAAATTACGCCAAAATAAAGCTAAAGAATTAAATGCCGTCTTAAAAACTGCTGTCAAATTTCTTTTAATTGCTAGTTGAAGATTACATCAAACTAGTTTTTCATCAGCTACAATGATAAATGTCACCGGTGTTGTAAATATGTTGGCATTACTAGGGTTGCAAACGAACCGAGCCAAACCAAGCAGGTTCTGGTTCACTATCAACTTGTTCAAAATCAATTCATATTTTTTTTATTTGTGTTCAAGCATGGTTTGTTTAAAATTATAAATTTTCATGTTTGATTTGTGTTTAGTTCATGTTCGATTCAAGTTTATGTTTATCAAGTTTAAAAAACCAAGTCTTATCGAGCTATTAACGAGCTTTACTTTCTAGATGGTCATTAGCTTCACAACGAGTTTTATCAAGGCTACTAACAAATAATTATTGTAGATCTCATTCGTAAATATATCTGGCGAGTATTTTTGAGCTGCCAAATAAGCCAGTTCAAGAATATCTTGAGTGACTATCTTAGAGCTCCAAAACGAGCCTGTTCGCGAGTAAACAAGCTCAAAAATTAATCTTCTTATAAATAAATTTGTTCATGAATACTTTAAACAAACAATCCTGCAAACATGAACAAATACCTCATGTTCATGAATAAATTTATTCTAAAAAAATAGTATAACATAAAAAATGAATTTAGTTTTTTAAAAACTATTTATTATAATAAAACTAAAACTTATGTGAAAATATACTAAATATATATTTAAGCCAATCTTAAGAAATGCATTGAGTTCCAAACAATATTTATAAATAAGCTTGTTCATGATCTCTGTATCGAACATAAATAGAGCTTATTAAGGAGCTTGTTATCGAGTTTCTTATCGTGCTTGTTCATGAGCTTTAAAAAATATTGTTCATGAACATAAACAAGTTGAACACATAGTTGTTCAATCTTATTTATTTAACAACCAAGATCTAAAAAAAAAATGTTTCAACTTATTTGATAACTTAATCAAAAGTTCACAAACGATCTATAATGAAACTGAGCCACGAGTAACAAGTTTAATGCTTCGTTTGTTTGCAGCCCTAGGCACTGCCATAGTTTTACTTCTAGTGTTAAGAAGTGAAGCGGAATGGTCCAAACTTCATACAATACCATGCTTGCATGCAGCAACGGAATGACTTAATTGCCGATAAATCAGACCGCAAAAAAGTTGACATTGCAAAGAGGTTGCTTGAAATTCTGCAAAGAGGTTGCTTGAAATTCACGATCTACTTTAGATTTCGTTCTCATATATATAGAAAAAAAATAGCAAGTAACCTTTAATCAATGTAGCAGGCTACAGATAAAACTCATATAAAACAGAAGAGAAGATTCAGTTCATACAAACGCAAATGCACATATCATCAGAAAAAATGAGAATCCTTCAGATGCGCCATTATGATGATGATTAGGAACTTGCTCCAATTGCAATACTCTGAACTTTTCCGAGGAAACAAACCTCTAAGTTGATAATAACTTCATTATTATTCTATAATTCTTGCTTGTAAATTGTCTTTCAAGCTTGACGATCATCGTAATGGTAATGCTAAAAATTCAGAATTCTACAGATTCACCAAACAGAAAGCTATCACCTAAAGATCATGAAAGCCAAACCTGGATATTGTTCACAAGCGGAATTATACAAAATGTTTCAAAGCAAACGGCAGCATACTTTGACATAGCACATCTTTACGAAGGAAACAAGAAGTACTGCAAGGAATTAAAACACATCAAAGATTGAAATAAAACTTATTGTTAGCATTCATGCAGACAGCAGTTCTTACGAGATGGAAATAGCATAACCATATAAAATCCCATGCCAAATATCAGACTAACTGCAAAATATAGAAACTCAAAGAGATTGACAATATCCACTAGGAAGATATACCATATCTCCAGGAAGTTGGGAACTCAGAGGTATCCTTTCCCAACTTTCTCCAGCATCTGATGTGTAAAGTAAGATTGCAGGTTTTCCAACAATCCAACCTTCTTTCCCTCTGAAACTTATTGAATTGAATCTGTAATTGAAATCTTCATCTTCAGCTGACGGTATGGAGCGTGGGAACCATGCGTTTCCTCCATCTTTCGTCTCCAATATAGTTTGCCTCGTCCCCAAAAGAAAGCCTGAAAGCAGTACGTATCATCAATTGATCAATTTTGCGACATGGTCATATATTACTCTAGGAGGAGATCTGGGAAGTCATAACCAACGTGCAATGCACTAAAAACATCTATTAATATGATCGCTTTAGGATTCCTAACTATCATTAATTATAGGTTTATATTTAGGAAAGATGTTAACAATTTTGTAAGTGAGCGTGCAACAGCGAAGTTTAGATCATTGGTATGAAACCACACCTTGAAAAACCATTTTGTTATCATAGCTCAAGCATTATTTCACAACTTCTGGGAAAAATTTAGAGATAATGAAGAGAAACAAATGGCATAGTAGTTGTTGGATTCAATTTTGTGTATGGATAACACATGACCTCACTAGTAGGCCGATCCTGCAAGCAAGTGACCTGAAACCATTGTGAGAATGAAGAGAAGAAAGAAAGTCAAAGATAAAGAGAGAATCTGTCGAATGCTCAAGAAAGCTATAAGTCTCAAACTAACATAGGATCCACTAGAATCAATCCAAAGGTCCCAAGTTGCTTCTCATCATCCCTTATTTATAGGATTTTGAGAACTACAAGAAAAGCTACATAATGCAATGACACAAAAAATACCGGTACAATGCAGCATAGACAACCCTAGACATATGTCATATTTTGGTTGGTTGGAGGAGGGCAAAATATCAAGAAATTCTGTGATATCTTTGGACAAGCTTAGTAGTGTCAAGTGCATGTTAGCGAGTAATGCTGAGCAGGTGAGTACGTTGAGACGATTCTATGGGTGAGTGTTGAGATGAGGGGGTCTACGACTAGTATACTTGTTGTGTTGCTAAAAACTAAAGTAGAAGACCTCGAATTGCCTCAAGAAAGCAAGGCGAGTGCAGTGTTGTTGATGGAAGGAAAAGTTCAAGGCTAGATGGACATGGTAAAGCAGGCTGAGGACTCCGCAAGTAAGAGTTTTCCTATAGCTGAGCTTGGAGAGTTTGTATAGTGATAGGGGATGAGGGTACTAGGCTAGAGCAACTGATTAGAGAGGTGATCCAAGTACATGGCGGGTGTCATGTCGCTTGCTTGGTGATGAATCCCCAATTCACCTTATGAAGAGAGAGCTCCATGGTAATATCGGATGACCAGCATCCCAAGATCGTTAAACAAGTTCTTCCTGTGGGCCCTCTTTGAGGGTGAGTCCTTTTGTTATGGCTCGCTGGCTACTTGCTAGATACTTGCGATGCATATGCAATTATACATTTAGTTTTCTGATTTACTTCCTTTTGATAGGCAAGTATTGAGCCAACATTGAATCTTCGTTGACCATGGTTGACCACAAAACCAAAAAACCCTAAATATTGAAATTTTAATTTCCATAAAACTCAACATGGCTCAGGCAAACTAAGTCATACAACCTTCTACAAATATGTTCAAATACCATTTGACATCCATTAAACCAAACCCCAAGCCCTGGTCAACCATGGTTGACCAAGTCAACCTAGTCTAACCACAATACCCTTTTGTCATTTAGACATTACATGCATGAAAATCCAACCAAATCATGGGACCACCTGGTCCACCTCCAACAAATTGGTAAATAACTTTAAAATCCTCTAGCTATAGGACAAGGTTGTAATCATGCAAAGCCCAACTAACCTTTTTTCTATTTTCACTAAGATTGTATTACCAAGCACGACTGACTTGGCCTCTACTATTTCTTTTATTAAATCTCCTGAATTTTATTTCTATTCCCAGACTGGATTACAAGTGCCCACATTTATCTTTTTTATTATTGTGTTGTTTATCTAGGAATCATATATTGTGGTGGCTTTATTTTAAATAAATTGGGAAAAACTTTAAAATCAAGTTAAGAAATTATTTTCTTTAAAATTTAAATTACATGGCTTTAGAGCCAACTTTTTAATTGAATTTATTTTTTCTATATCTCCTTGAGGTGATATAGAGTTGAGCTCGCCACGAATTAAATCCTCTAGCTAATGCCCAATCATGACATGGTCTGACTTAAAGCATATAGTTAAAGCTCTTCACATTATGGATAGAAAATTTTGTATTTATATCAAGTCCCCTAGGATAGCTCTCAGTTTAAGGGCATGATTTAATTAAATATATTTAGGCGGATGTTTAGCATGCTAGGTAGTGGCAAACATGATATAAACATGAAATTCAATTGAGTGGCTTTGGTTGTATATAAATGAGCCATTTCATTTACCATTTTTTTATCTCCATTGCTTATACCACTAATAATTGTAAGTCTTGTATCTTTCCATATTTACTATCTAAAAATATCTATGTAAGAGTCTATGTTTTATTTTCTTAGTTTAAGATCACAAGGCTTCCTCTAGATGATGCAAATTATGGTTGCAACAAAGCATCTCAAAGTTAAGTTGGATTGACTACATAGACGGCTAAGTGATTACAAGCTTGATAACCTAGTTTGACAAATCCATAAAATTTTAGCAACTTAAATTCTATATTTTTCTGGACTCCTTACCTTGCATGTAATCCTTTTAAACCCACTGATTTCTCTAGACTTTTGGTAATTCAATGATCATGATCGCATATGAATTTCTATGCAGACAGATAGTTCTCTTATTTGACTATGGTGATTCACCCTTTGTTTTGTGGATTCTTATTTTTAAGCATAATCTATCATACTAGGATGACAATCCTTGAATCATAAATCCTTGACATTCACCCAATCAAATCAAAATACAACAATTTTTTATTTTATCTAGAGTGTCTCCTACAAAAAAAAAAAAAAAACACCCTCACATTATCAAAACTTTTTCCTTCAACATTCCTTTGGTAGACAACTTGTTGACCAATACACAGTGTGACATAGTGGCTTACCCATAATTTAATTCTTTAAGTGAGCATTTATTTGATCTCTTCGTATATTTCTTCTTTGTACCCTTCTCCAACACATCTAAACAAAACCCTACAACCTACACAAGTTCAAGATTTTAGGCATCAATTTCAAAAGATCTTTGAATTTTCCACTAAAACAAACTCTAAAGACTCCATCTTCCATCCAATAATGCAAAAAAAAAAAAAAAAAAAAAAGAAAACCAAAAACACCCCCCCCCCCCCCCCCCGGGCGAAATACATACCCTAGCTAAAACCTAACCTTCCACTCCCAAACTCACAAAAACTAATCGCCCATTGTGTTAACTCTCAGACTCTCCTAAACTTAGCCTTCCAACTCCACAAACTCGCAAAAAATAATCGCCCATTGTGTTAACTCTCAGATTCTCCTAAAAGTCACATTAAGCTTTGGTTTAGCCAACCACAATTCCTCCAACACTCATCCCCTGACAATCGAATAACATCTAAAGCAAGAGGAGTTTCATCCACAACAAGAAGTCAACAAAACAAGTACAATTCGATAGTCACCCTTAAAAGCCGAAGGGACTTCCCAGGGACAATCCTCTGGTTGGCATGCTGATATTTTGTTTTAGTCGAATGCGTAGTAAGTATCCATCCACTCAAATTCAAAAGACATTAAAGTTCCTTTCCAGCGGGTAAAAAAAACGAATCCAGCCATGGGGAACAGTGTTAAGATAACATGAGAACGCAACTTACGCAGCAATTTGCAGTTACATTTTCAATTCATGTGGCTAATTAAACCAAAACTTTCACTGCAAACAATTAGAATGAAGCAAGTGAAAAGGGTCAGCTCAGAAAAGAAGGAGACCGTGGTTGAGGTCATCCGGAACAAAGGCAACATCGAGGAGGACGACGCCGGGGTCGATGGGTAGGTAGACCCGCTCCCACTCGGAGAGGACAGACTCTTCAGACTTGGCCGGTTGTTGGACTCTGGGAATTGGAGCGAGGGAGAGGGAAATGGCGGCGGTATAAGTAATGATCTTTCGGCGAGCCACTGAGTCGGATAAGTCGGTGTTGGAAGAGATGCAAGCCTTGTAGAGGAATCGAGGGCGCAGTGATCGATATCCACCTACGTGAGTAGAGTCGAAAAAGGAAGTACAGAGGGTGCGTCGTAGATGGGGAAAGATGATGGAATCAGTGAGCAGGGTACTACCCATTGAATGCTTGCTTCCCTCTTCCCGGCCTTCCAAGAAGCCTCTTATCCCACTTCGTGGCGATTCTCAGATAACCATGCTCATATATTATCTAAATTAAATATCAGTTGCCACTTAAGACATCTATTCGGCTTCAATCCCATAGATTATAAAATAATTCAGAAGGTCAAAAAATAAATGAATAATATGCTAATATAACGAATCAGATATCTTTTAAATTATTTAAATTATAACAAATATTAAATAGAATCATAATCAAAATTTAAATTATGTGAATGAGCATAATTTTACAAAAATTTAAAAAGTGATAAACTAGAATTAGTCAAACTGTTTAGCTAATTATTAATAGTCAAATAGTATGTATAAAATTTGTTGTATTTGTATATATTTGACATAATTATTTAACTTGTTACTTATACATATTTTCATTAAAAAAGTGCTAATTTTCATAATTTATTTGTATTAAAATTATAATTAAAATTTATTTATAAAAAATATTTAATTATTAATTTATATTTTATATTTAAAATAAAGGTCTTTATATTAAAAAATAATAATTCATTAAAGATTAATTTTTCATTTATATTTAAAATATAATTTAATATTAATTAATAATTTATGGGTAGTTAAATACATATAATATTTTAGGACAAAATAAGCTAACTGAACGTTCATAAAACTAACTTTGTCAAAAAAATTTTGACATAAAAATTATAAACAACATAAAATTTTATAAAATATCCAAATTCGAAAGCAACATACCAACAACAATAAGAATATTGTATTGAAAACTACATTCAGATATAGACTATTTGTGTATTAAGAATTAGCCAATATATACATAATTAGTTTAAATTATTCATTCATTAATTTACAAGTATTTTAATTTAAAAAATATACAAATACAACTAATTTTATACAAATTGTTTGGATATTAAGAATTAGTTAAATTGTTTGGTGTTTTTCATGTAATGTGCCAAATAGTATAGAATTAGCCAAATAGTTGGCTAGTTTGACTCTTTTTAATTTTTTATAAAATTATGCTCCTTCATATAATTTAAATTTTATTCTTAAAATTTTATCTATAAATTTTAACTTTATATGACTCATAATACATATATTTGAGTTAGTAAAACCCATATATTTTAATTGGTTAAATTTCCCCAATGTCAATTTCAAATAAAAAAGCATTTATTTTGGAATGAGAGGGCTTATCTCAAATATTTATGAGAATATTTAAACTTGAATACTCCTCAAACTTCCTTCTTCTAAGCATCTTCTTTAGTGTCTTCCTTGCTCAATATGATTGCTGCCCAGGGACAATAACTTCTTGTTAAGTGAAGGTTTTAATAATCCTTTCAACCACCCAATCAACTTCGATGGGGAAGGTGGGTGTTAAACTATGTTTTTTATTATTTAGCTTACGACACATTTATTATCCTTTCAAATGCAAATATATTCGCACTAACACCCTTATCTTAAAAAGGAAACAGTTTTAAACACTAGGCTCGAATAAGAGCTTCGATTAGAACATTATATTTAAATAAACTTTATACACATAATATGATGTTCAAATTGAAGTTTGAATTTCAATTATGTTTGATCACCATACTATGTGCTAAAACCTACTTTGAACTTATGTTTTAAACTTGGGATTCAACCATTAGCTTCAAAATGGAAGCTCAAAACTCGGTTCAACTAGGTGAGAACTTTAGGTGAGAATAAAGTTCGAATATGGTTCAAACTTATAACATGGGGTGCAAATCATCTTCAAACCTAGTTTGGACTTTGATTTGAAACTTAAGATTTGACCATTAGTTAAAATAATAATAATAATAATAATAATAATAATAATAATAATAATAATAATAATAATAATAATAATAATAATAATAATAATAATAATAATAATAATAATAATAATAATAATAATAATAATAATAATAATAATAATAATAATAATAATAATAATAATAATAATAATAATAATAATAATAATAATAATAATAATAATAATAATAATAATAATAATAATAATAATAAGATTTGATCATTAGCTTTGAAATAGCTATTCAAAACATATTTGCCTAGTTCAAACTTCTATTTATAAGATGAAAATGTCCCAGGCACAAAAGAGGGATGAGAGTGAATTTGTGATGCTCCAAGATTTAATTTGGAAGAATTGTCTATTTTGTTGAGAGAGCTTTTCAAGAAAATCATACTCCATATTGTTAAAGACTTCAAATCAAGATTTGCTTAGAATGTGTTGTAATATTGAAGTATGTATTTTTCTCTTTATTTGAATCTGAGAGAGTGTGTGATTGTAATTAAGTAACTTAACACACACACATCGGGGGAGAGTTAAAATTCATAATTTTTAAAACTGATCGTACAGTACGAACCATGTTCGTACGGGACGATCTGGTTAGTTAAAACTCTCGAACGAGCGAAAGAATGAATAGAGAGGGCCAAAATTCTTTTCCAAGTACTATTCATCCCGACGATATTTTCGTTCGACCTAGGATGATGGGCTCTGGACATGTTCATTCAAACGATAATTATCATTCTTTCTAGGATGATGCTCTCTAGATGCGTTCATCCAGAAAAAAATTAGGGTTCGTCCTAGGATGAAGGGTTCTGTATTCGTCAAAATGAACTATCATTTAGACGATGTTTTTCGTTCATCCCAGGACGATGGGCTCTGGATGCGTTCGTTCAAACGATATTTTTCATGCGTCCCAGGATGGTGCTCTCTGGATGGGTTCATCCAGATGATAAATATAGTTCGTCCCAAGACAATGGGCTCTAGATTGGCCAAAATGAATTATTCATCCAAATGATATTTATGGTTCATCCCAGGATGATCTTCTCTATTCTAGAAACTTAAAATTCATCATGTATTTTCATACCAATGAACTTTGGGAATAACTGTTATTACCGGATGAACTTAGTTCGTACGGGACGATTATCGGGTACTAAGATAGTTTGTACTGATTCATATATGTTTCGTACGTAACAGTTTTTACACTGTTCGTACGTATGAAATTGAATCGTACGGGAAGATTGTGGACGGTCAGAAATTGAAAATTGCAGTTTTTGGACGGTCACTACGGGAAAACACGCGATTACCGTCGGATTTTTCGGCGGAAAATTGTGCGCCGGTAATAACGGCGCAGGCAACGGCGGAATTGTTCGACGAAAATCTTGCGGCGACATTTCCGGCGCAACATACGCCGTAACTTTACCGACGCCGGTTTCGCCGGCCAATCCGACGGTATAGTAATGTCTAAACCAATTCCGTCGCACGTTACGGCGGAACATTTCCGGCGTACGTTACCGGCGGACATTGCGCCGGCGGATTTAGTCTGCCGGTAATAACGGGTTTTCCTGTAATGGGTTTTTTGTGTCTTTTCTATAAAATGTCAAGTTTTGACTGTCTTAAAATCTTTTTGTCTTTTGGTCTTCGAAAACACTCAAGGGAGATTGAAGGAGAGAGTGAGAGAGAGTGTTTGAAGCAGAATTCTTACTAGTGGAGCGTGAAGGTTTCACTTGGTTACTCAAAGGTAAGAATGTCTATTTATAATTTGTGATTATTTCACTCTTTTCTCTTGTCCTTCTAAATTTCTTGTGAGAATATCTTTCAAGGAGATCTGGTTCTTTGCCAACACTCGAGGAGTGTGAACAGCCGAAAGGTTCTCTGCCTACACTTGGAGAGTGTAAAAAGATGAAAGTTCTCTACCTACACTTAGAGAGCGTGAACAGCCGACGATTTTTTACCGATACTTAGAGGGTGTAAAAAGATGACGGTTCTCTGCCACACCAGGTAGTGGTGAAAGAGAGTTTTTATGAAGGCTTCTCTTCCTTGCAGTGGGGGCAAAAGGAGAGACACTTGTGGTAATAGTGCAATACCTGAAGTGGGAGACTTCATGGAGTGGATGTAGGTCGTGTTTGACCGAACCACTATAAATCTTATTTTTTAAAATTTTTTGTTATATTTTACTTTACTGCTTTTATGTTGATCTGTAGTTGAAAAATTATTTTAAAATTTCACTAAAACTTTAATCAGTTTAAAGAGGAAGAATTTTTTAAATTACCAATTCACCACCACCCCTCTTAGTTAGCCTTTTGAGATATAATCCTAGGTCTAACAACTTAATTCATAACTAACAAGTTTCAACAAGTGGTATCAAACCAAAAGTTTAAACTATTTTTTTATTAACGACCATGTCTATATACTGCTTCTCGGGACAAGGATAACAATTCAGCAAGGGGAGTTACTGAGGATGGATCTTCAAATTCTAAGGTCGAACTTTCCAAGGAAATCAAGAGCTTGGGGCCTATTAGGTTGCTTTCCAGAAACAGGAAGAAGGATGGTGAAGGGAAAGATAAGGTGGGGGCTTCTTCCCCCATTATTCATTAAATAGCTTCCATCATGTTTTGGAATTGTAGAGGGGAAAAAAGAAACAAGCCTCTCTATATCTGGAATGCTATACATTATTTTTTTTCTTTCGGGAAAAATGAATGAGGGATGGAAAGAAACTTTAATAGTGTTGATCCCAAAAGTTGATAATCCCACAACCCCAAGACATTATAGACCTATTAGTCTTTGTAGGTCTATTTATAAGATAGTGGCAAAGATTCTGCTGAATAGAATGAATAGATATATTCATAAACTTATTTCAGAAGAACAAGCTGCATTCATAAGCGGAAGATCATTGATGGATCATACTCTCATTGCTCAAGAAGCTTTTCATAAATTCAGACATTCAAAAGCATCTAAAGGTTTGGTTTCATTCAAAATAGATATGGAACAGGAATACGATAACATGTGTTGAGAGACACTGAGAAATGTTTTGAAATATTTCAATTTTCCAATGGGTTTTTCAGATTGGATTATGGAATGTGTCCAGCAACAGAAATTCTCATTTTTGATTAATGGAAAGCTCTCCAACTGGATTGAAGCCTATAGTGGATTCCGCCAAGGTTGCCCTTTCTCCCCATATTTATTCATTCTTTACTCTCAGCTTTTGTCCAACATTTACAAACAGAAAAAAGACGATTTGGGAATTACTTTGGTTGCAAATGGCCATAAACTTACTCATCTGCTTTATGCAGATGATATACTAATATTCTCTGAAGCTAAAATTAAGGTGGTCAAAGAAATCAAGGATTGCCTAAGGAAATTTTGTGGGTGGACTGGACAGAACATCAACAGCAAACAATCTTTCATCTTTTTTGGAAAACATTTGAAGAACAACAAGAAGAAAGCTATTGAGAGGATCATGAAGTTCAAAGTGGTGAAAGAATTCAATTATCTTGGGATCAAAATGGCTCAAAGGAGGTTAGTAGCAACAGATTTCAGTTTTATTATTGAAAGAGCTATCAAACTAGTGGATATATGGGGATCCAAGAAAATTTCCTTAGATGGCAAATTCACACTTATCAAATCAATTTTTCTTTCAATTCCTGTATTCTATAGCACTATTTCTCTTGTCCCAAAAAGTATTTTAAAGGAATTGGACAGAATTTGTAGAAGATTTATATGGAACAAAGCAAAAGGAAATCTAGGTATTCACTATGTTAACTGGAGTAATTTATGTTTGCCTGTAAGATGTGGTGGGAGAGGTTTGCGTTCTTGTTCTACTTTGGCTGGACCTCTTAGAGCGAAATTAGCTTGGAAATTATTCCAAGATAAAGACTCTTTGCTTTATAAAATCATTGGAGCAAAGTATGGAATGTGTGATAGTGGAATCACGGGAAATAATAAAAGCCCAGCTTGCAAAATAATTGCAAATGGTTTTGAGAACCTAAAGAAAATTACCAGATGGAAGATTGGAGATGGTGCTTCAGTGAATGTATACAAAGACATTTGGATTTTGGACAAATGTCTAAACGAATGGCCAACTTTTATGGCTACACCTGAACAAGATGAGCTCACGGTGGACTGCCCAATCACAGACGGAAACTGGAACCTTACCAAATTGGAATTATTATTTGGTAATGGACTCATTTGCTTGATTCATAACGTTTCAGTTAACAGGGGAGAAAATGACAGCTTGGAATTGTTATGCAAGAACTCGGGTAATTCTATTTCTTATTTAGCTTTTAAAGCATCAATTGAAGCTCATGATGATTACTGGTACTGGAATTGCTTCAAAAAGATTAAACTCCTGCCATTAGTGGAAGTTTTTGGGTGGTGTATTCTCAATAATGCAATACCAACATCTCATTACCTATATAATAGAAGACTCCAAATGGAAATTGTTTGCCCGAGAGGTTGTAATGCACTAGAAGACCTGAAACATATCTTGCTTAAATGCTTGAAGATTACAGAAGTCTTAAACCAGCTCAACATATGGGGATTCGGTATTACAGCATTCCAATCCTTTCTTGATTGTTTGAACTGGATTAAAATTAATGGTACAAAACAAAGCTTTGTCACAAATCTGTATTGCAATTCAATCTTCTTCTCATGGAAAGCAAGGAACAATCTAATTCTTGAAGGGAAAGAGGAAAGTGCTTTGATGATTGCCATCAATTCAGCTAACTACACTTCTATTTCATTCAAGTGTGATAAATTCAAATCGGGCAACTGGGGTACTAATAAGTCTTATAGACTGTTGAGTCGTTGGTACCCTCCTCCTACCGATTAGATCAAAATTAATGTGGACGTGGCACTATTGAAATCTTATAAAGCTGGAATTGGAGGTGTGATTAGAGATAGCAAAGGTAGATTTATCATGGCTTATGGAAAATCATGCATTCATTGGCATGTTGCTTATTTGGAACTTTTTGCAATAAAGTTCATAAAAGAAATCATGAAAGATTGGATGGAATCATTTAAAGGTCTTATTATTGAAGGAGATAATCAAAATATTATCAAATACTTACAAGACTTGGGAGGTAAGTGGAAAGAAGATCTTCAATTCTTAAGTTCGTTTAATTTTGTTATTTTTAATTGGGTTGGTAGAGAAAACAATAAATTGGCAAATTTATGTGCCAATTATGCTATTGCTGGGGAGTTCATTTGGAATGATTTTACTTCTAATAAGATTCCTACTTCCTTTTCTAAATTATTGGAGGAATCGGATCTTGCTTTGTAATAACTTTAGATTTTCAGTTTTTTATTAATGCAAGCTATTTGCTTTCCTTAAAAAAAAAAAAGCATATTTGATGCGTGGGTACGCGTGCTTATTTTTATGAAAAGCATGACATCAAGCATTGCCAAGAACACAAGTTATTTGTTTTCATTCTTTTAGTTATTTTATTGTTCGATATCCGCACATAATAATCTATCATATAATTTAAACATAAAGTTGATGACTTTTTAATATAAGAAAATAATTAAGTAATGATCAGATCATGATAAAAACATTCAACTATCTACTTAACTAATAAATTTGAAATATATATTTTTAATTTAAATATAAAAAAATATTTGTGTTCGACTCATTGAGAAATTTTTATGTAGCTTTAGGTTTCATTTGGGATGATTTTTTTACTACTTAAAGCAACTTTTTATTAATCCAAAAATTAAAATTTTACATACAAAAAAAATTATTTTTTTTTCAAAAAAGTTACTTTTAAAGAAATAACAAAATCATCTCAAATGAAGCCTTAATTTAGTTCATATGATTTCAATGTGATTTCAATTTTGATTCTGTTGATGTTAGAAGCTTGATAAATCCGAGTTTTGTTTTTATTCATGTTGGATAAACTGACTCAATTTTCTACAGCTATGTCGGTGTAAATATATACATAAAGAGGTGATAATGTAGGATATATGTATTTGAGAAATACTAAACCACCAGAAATTGAGAAGACAAATATTAGTGGTCCATGATATGAATGACAGTTAATAGATGTCAGCCCGAATTCCGATCGAAAAGTTTAGAAGGTTTAGCATTCCACAATGTATTTTGATCCTTCACCATTTAAACCAAAAGATGAATGGGCATAGTACTATTATTATTATTTTGGTACAAGGCATAGTCGAATCATATTAGATATTTAAACTGCTGTCATAAAATAATGATCTTGCAGCTTTTATACATTGACATAACACCATCAAGGTTTTCTTCGATGACAACAAATTGTACCTTATGTCAAAATGAAATTATTTAAATCCATTACAATTTTTTTCTTCTTCTTGTGCACTGTTTCTCACGTAACCATCAATTGACTGCCATGTAAGTAGTCTCTAATTTATCTTACCGTTGAAGAACACCTCATCATATGATTGATGGATCCTTGTATCTCTTGAAGATAAGCTCTATATCATTTGCAACTTCCGGTGGCAATGGTCGAGGAGTTGATATAAAAGCATCAATATCTTCCTTGAGCTGATCAAGTGAAGTTGCGCCAATGATTGAACTAGTCACAAAGGGACGGTCACGTACAAATGCTAGAGCTAGTTGGACTGGGGTGAGACCATGTTTTTTGGCCATTTGAACATATAGTTCAGTTGCTTCCTGCATCTCAATAAGAGATCATGAGGAATATGACAATAAATACGGAATAATTATTAGCAGTAGATTTGTGATAAAGGTTGAACCTTGGATAATGAATTTATGTATCTGGCCATGTAGCCTGGGAAGAGGTTAAGCCTGCCTTTTTTAGCAGCTTCAGAATTATGGTCTAAATACTTGCCGCTCAGATTTCCACCACCCAATGGAGAAAAGGCAAGCAACCCTATGTTGCAGTTGTTAGGGTGGCATACTTCAATAAGATCAACTGCATGCACAAAATAGAATTAGAAAAATTAAATAGTAATTCTTTTCAGGTCTCGTAGTTGGTACTTGTGATGGCTTCTTCATATTACATGAAGCAAAGCTTCCCACTCTTTTTAGTTTCCAAATGCCATAAGACGAAAACAAAATTGCATTTAATAAACTTTCAATTGTTTATGACTTATGAGAAATATCTTGTAATTAGTTGGCACAAAAAATTTCAAACCACATTGCCACTGAAATTTCAATTTGTTGAATTCAAATTTATCAACGGATGACACCTGCTATTACTAGAAGTTGATCAACGGATAGTGAAAATTTTTGAATTGTCAATAAAAATGTTCCCACAACATTCAAAGTAAAAAAAAAAAACTCCAAAATATGCTAGCATTCTATGAGGTCACGTTGCCTTCAAGCGAGCACCTTTTAGGCGACATGACCATGTCAAAAAAGTTCCTTGACCATAACATGTTAGGTATCTAGGGATTACATATAGTAAGATGCGAGTATATGTTTAGTTTCTCGATTCTTTTGATCTTCTGAAAGGCGAGCATTTGTTATTTTCACCAAATAGCATAAGATAAGAGCATGCGGAAATTACTATCTTGTCATTACTATAACCTCAGATGTCATGTCGAGTTTGTTTTGTAAAGGTTCTTGGTTCATTATGAATTTGACTTGGGCCTTCACGCTCTCTCCACCTATAAGTAGCCAGGATAGTACGATGCAGCCACACTCTTACCCTTCAGCTCCCCAAAACTTTTGACTAACTCACCCGAGCTAGCTGACTTGAGTCATTCCTAGCTTGTTGATGAGAGCCTTAAGAGGTTGGAAGAATGCTATTCTCCCTAAGAAAAAATTGGAGTGAGAAAAGAACTCCAGCTCGCTTGGAGCAAGAAGAAGACGAAGGTTGTAGAAGCGAGTGGGCCCATTGGCCTAAAGCAAAGTGGGACGGAAATGCTTGTGCAGGAGGAGGCCGAGAAAGTGGAATCAAGCAAGGTTGTGGCAACAAGGAAGAGATAAGAGGGAGGTCCTCTTGTCAAGTTTTGAAGATGTGCCTCTCGCTGTGAGGCATACAGGGCGAATCTCCACATTTTAAGAAAAAATGGGTGCAATCACTTGGGCGATGAATATTGACGTAGAATTGGCACTAAATCTTAGTCTGGTTGAGCGAGTTGTGGCTTAGGTGAAGGTAAAGGTACTTTTCATACATTTTAGAGAATAAGACTCTAAAGCCGAATGAATGAAATTAAACTCGGGCAAGCTAGCTAAGAGTGCACTTACCCTCGAGCAAGCTCTTAGGAAAAACCAAGTGAGTTTAAAGCATTGGCATTAATGCACTGGGTGTTAAGCTTGTATACAAGGATGGAAGACTGCACGATATATGTGAAAACCCGAAAAATGTCATTTTTAGACCTTGCACGCTTTTCAAAGCGCCGCGACGAGATTTAAGTGGAATTTTCAATGTTATCGGATTGTAACGAAATTAATTTTAGAAAATCCTACGCGAAATTCTGATCGTTTTGGTATATAGAACTTGTACCCAATTTTGCCTATTTTTGGAGTTATTAATTTTAGAAGTCTCTAAATACCTATTATACCCTTACTCATCTTTTATGCCGAATTTGTTTAAGTGAGGGTAGCATAGTCTTTTAGCAAGCCCTTTCTCCCTTAATAGGCAAAACCGAGCCCTTTCCCCCCTATTCGCGTGAAACCGAGCGGACGAACAGAGAGGAGCGACGGGCTAGGCGCGGACGGCGTGCTTTCGCGAGGGTCTCTCCGGCGACGATCTTCCGGCGAAAGTTTTAGGTCAAATCGAAGAGGACGGCGAGAGAAACACTCCGGTATGATTATTTTCAAGCGAAACTTTCTAGATCTCGAATATTTTGGAAAAGAAAATTCTAGGGTTTTTCTAAATTCTCTTTTTCTTCCGAATTTCTTTTAGGAATAAATAAGGAAGGATTAGGAGAACCTTTTAATGATGAAAATGAAAATTTTTGGAGGAATTTTTGGATATTTAAAAATTAGGGTTTTTCCCTAAAATTTAACTTTTTGAAAGTGATTTTACAAATATGGTTTCTAAGGGTATAAATTGAATTTTTCACACAAAATGATATTTCTCTAATTTTAATATTAATAAATCCGAAAATAATTAACTTAATGTCAATTAAAGTTTAGGTTAATAATAGATTAAAGATATATGTTAATGACATTCGTTTATGTTAATGATATTCATGTCATTTGATAAGAAGGAATTAAGATTTAATGTTTATTTATGTTAATGGTTTCTTTATATTAATGATTAGGAATTAAGGTTAATGTTGGGTAAGGGAAATTTTGATAAATGATTCAGCAAATTAAATTCATATGTTTATAATTAAGAAAATGAGAGAGA